AGCACAGGAACGACTTTACGCTTGGTTAGTTCGTCCTTTCACCCAACTAGATTCTTTCCTGCCTCGTAATAAAGGCTGGTGAAATGAGGTGCCTCCTCTCCCTCAACCGCAAAGGATTTTAAACTATTAGGAAGTCGGTGACTAGGTTGCCTTGCTTTTTTGTCAGCTTGATTTCCGGGTACTTTGGGTGGTACTTAGCTGATAGCTGACCATTTTAACCGTTGACGCAGCTTGTTTCGAAGTGCCTGATTTGGGTGAAGATTTAGACCTTTAGACTCTTTAACCCGTGCCACGGCGGAAGTATCCGAGTGTTGCGTTTTTCGTCCTTTGCTTGTTGGGTAGGTACGATATGACTTTGTGTTTCTGCTGGACAGTCGCTTCAGGGCTTTCGCTTCTTGTTTCCACTTGCGTTTATATTCAGGTCGCACTTAATAACATCCCTAATTTATTGCTCAAATAATCATACACAAAAAGATACTTGATGCTCTTTTCCTTACAGCGCCGTTTAAGGCTGTCGTGTAACTAAGATAATATTAAAGGTATATCAAAGAAGAAAGCAGAAAATAGTAAGGTAGGAGCGGAAGACCCTCCGAAGAATATATGGATGGAGGATAGTAGACGGCTATTACAAAAGGAGAACACACACAGAAATATACCAGACCTATCAAGAACATAATATCCTAGAGGTTATAAAAAAGAGAAGAGTACAATAGTTATCACTTTCAGAAAATGTCGGACAGTAGAACAGTGAATCAGAATGTAGTGTTAGAAGAAACGTTTTCGCCTTAAAGCGAGTAACTTTAGCGCATTTTCCATGAATTGATCAGCACTTCCCGAAAGTTCTTATAACGGACTATAAAGGAAAATAAGTTATGGCATAAATATTTTTATAAATAAGGTCTGCGCATGCACACATGTTTGCCTTTACTATAAGAATCTGTGGTTAAAATTTCAAAAAATATCTCTATAAATAAGAAAATTGATATTGCGCACGTCTGATTTTTACAGCATGCGATATGCTTGTGTTTACTAGAAGCATCTGTGGTTAAAATGTAGAAGAAATATTTATATAAATAAGAAAGTTGACGTTGCGCAGTATGGGCCAGCGATGTGCATATCTGATTTTTGTAATAGGCAATATGGCTGCCTTTACTAAAAGCATCTGTGGTTAAAATTTCAAAGAAATATCTGCATAAATAAGAAATTTGAACTTGCGCAGTTTGCGCATGCGCACGTCCGATTTTTACAATATGCGGTATGCTTGTATTTTACTAGAAACATATGTGGTGAAAATCCCAAAAAATATCTCTGTAAATAAGGAAGTTGATATTTGCGCATGCGCACATTAATCGTCAGGATTTTTCTTGGCCGAGGTGGCAGAGTTATTAGCTACCGAATGCAAAAAGAAGAGTAAGTAGTTAAAACCTCGGGCGGACGGACGGAGTGACCATAATAGCGCCTTCCATTCCAACATGAGTTGGAAAATTCGGTAATAAAAGAGGATAAAGCATTTGGAAGGGCAAAGCAAAGGACAAGAACATATGAAACAAAATAAAAAGCTCAGGGCCGCGACGGCCTGGAAAAAGTTTTCATTCATTCATGCAAATCTTATAGGACCGTAACGAAGATATTGTATACCTACTGTTTAAGTGGCATGGTGTTGAGTTGACTGTTGAAGTTTACCAAAATATCTTTACGTTTCTTTCAGGGTTTGCTGGTAACGGCTAATGAGGGAAGGGTTGGTGGGGTTAACATTAATAATATTCTGATTATAGAAAAAGAACTAAATAAATGTGACTGAAATTAGAAATGTAGACAATTTGCAATTGTAATTGTGCACTAGTGATCCGAGACAATTATTTTCTAGATTGACATTTAGGAATGTACCTATATGTAATTTTGTAAACTTCCGGATGTTACCTAACACTAACAATACCATAAATTGGCTATACCTACCTACTATTAAAAAGAAATAATAGAGCACATGGTAATAAGTCATAATTTGTGGTGGATTATTACAGGAACCTTAATTAATAACTTTTTAGCTGAATAACTAATAAATTAGTGGACGTTAATGTGGTGTGATTTGTATGGAATTATTTTTATTAATAACCAAGAAAAGATTACAGTCCATTTACATTTAACCATTTTACAGTAGTCAAACGGGGGCCAAGGATCAGGTAGATGTTTGACAGCATCTTTAGAATTTTCAAAAGCGTTGACCCCTAACTAGGTACCTGTTGCAAATGTAAAGACGAGTTCGACGATGAATATGATCGCTTGGCATCTTGCAGGTAAGCAGAAATTTTAGTGGAGAAACGAGAAATAAAAGCATCGTTGCATAGTTAATGCAGAAAAAAAATCGAGACGTTTCTAACAGAACTGGCGGTGCCCACCTACCTTTTTCACCGTGTTACTCCTTCTGCCGTCCCCTTCACTTCCAGAGACGACGAGAAAAGTAAGTTCTGATGTCTCTTGCGATTGCAGTCTTTCTTCGACCATTATTTCCAAGTCGAAAAGTCACTAAAATTTATTTCCAAATCTTTTTGTCGGGGCAGTAAATGTTAAAAGCAGAGTTCGTGGCCCTATTTTTGTAAGCGGTGTGTAGTTTCTTCACGCTTAGTACAATTTACGTTATTAACACTATCTTTTAATGGTGTTATAAATGAAATCGTAAAAGAAATACAATAAAAAATGTCATATCTTAAAAACCGGTACCTATACATTTTCATTTTCAACCTGAGTAACCTCAAGTCTGCTGCTGATGAGAGCAAATTTTATAATAGGGGGTTTTAAGTAGGTAATCTGTACTTCTATTTTTAAAGAAATAATTAGATTCAACCGATGCGGCTGCAGCTAATTATTATTAATTACTACAAGGACTGAATACACTTTTAAATATATCATTGACGGTAACATGGTTTAATAAAATCAATTAATCAGTCTTACCTTATTAGCCGATTAATTACAATCAAGATCGTAAAAGTGATTCAAAAGTTGAAGGAAATGGTTATTTTGATCAAATTATTGGGCCGAGTATTTAAAAAAACACATGATTTTAATTATTTAAATCGCTACCTAACAATGTTTCGTCATTGGAGAGTGTTTCTGCTTTTCTATGTGAGGGAAACTACAACACTTCATATTTCATTTATGTATTAACGTACCCAATTAAAACAGAAATATTCATCGTTTTCGAATTCACATTTGAGGATGTGACCTACACTTGTAGATAGGCATAGGTCTCGTCTAGAGACCTTCCCTAACTACAGGAATTTGGAAAGGGCATGAAGTTGAAACCAATTCCTCGATTCGAACCATTTATTAACGAGCTCCTAGCGAGTTTATAATTTTGCGGTGTCTGTCCGTCTGTCTGCCCGTCCGTTAGCATGATATCTCGTAAACGAATGGACCAGGACCGATTTCGATGAAATTTTGCAGGTGAATCAAATTTATAGATCGGAGTTCGTGAATTGGCAGTGCAGGACAACAAATAAAGAAGGCATTTTTGGAAATTGAATATGCGCATAGCTTTAAAGTTAAGCCACATAAAACGCAGTTCCAAAAGTTGAGCCTAATCGATCAGCATTCACCATTCACAGTGCCCTCTTCGCATCTCGACCATTTATAGGTAAACCGAATTGCAAACTTTCTTATTTATAAAGGTATTTATTGATTAAATTTGAACGTCCTATAAATTTAGTGGGTGGTTCTTTGTACCATTTGACATGACCTTATTTTTGAACACATGTTAACCTGTGTGGAATCTAACGACTGCAGAGCTTTCGACGATTTCCAGATGTAAATAATCACGTGTACCTACTATCCGATCAAAAATGAGTTGCTGTCGAGTCACCTTTGGAATTTTTGTTTACATAGGAAATCGTATTTAACTTGAACTTCCAAAGGCGACTCGACAGCAACTCATTTTCGATCGCCCGTTATTGCTTTTATCTCAAGTCAATACACAAGCGACTTTTGTAATCATTTGGAGTATTATAGGTATATATAATTTTTGGGAAATTCTGGTTTTCAAATTTTTTTAACGAAATTTTAAATAGCACACAAAACTGAAAAACATTACCCATTTAACGTTAATATAAACATAATAATTACTTGTGCAATCGTGAGAGATCTTGCATTTTTGAAGTCTACGACGTTGCACGTTGTTTCTAAATTTTAAATTTACCTACATCCACGTAAACAACGATCAGATTTTAGAACCATTACATCATTTTGCTCTTTAACTTCATGCATGCTTACTACTCTACTGGAGCAAATCGAACTCATATGAATTATAACAGATCTAAGAGGTTGTCTAATTAAGAAATGTTAGGTAGGCAAAACATATTACGTCAAAGTAAGGAGAGTATCAAAAGTAGCGTACCAGCATTAAATTCAACGATACCAGTTACCACAGATTTATACTCTGTTTTTAAACTAAGAGGGGTAACTTGAAAAGTCTGATTTACATCCTTCACACTTCAGATGGCTCATAAAGTCATGACATAGGAAAAATAGTGGCGCGGTCAAGTATTCTATTCAAGCAAGCCATTATTTTCCCAGGTACAGCATCATTGCGTATTGAAATGGCATCCTCTATGCACGCTCCTTGTCAAGAAATTTACTATAAATATACAATGGTATTATTTTATCAACACGTGTCTTTGTTATCATTGAATTCCCACATCTCATCGCATAATCCCACTCCCTACGTAACCACACATAATCTACCCTATGGAAAATTCGACTCTACCTAGACGTACCCAAAATATTTGAAAATCGACGAAAGTCAAAAGTCGACGAACCTTGAAAGTCGAGGAGTCAAACGTCGATGAAAGTCGAAAGTTCGTCAAAAGTCGACGAAAGGCGAAATTCGATGAAAGTTGAAAATCGACGAATGTCAAAAGTCGAAAAGCGAAAGTCGACGAAAGTCAATGAAAGTCGAAATTCGACGAAAATCGAAAGTAGACAGTAGACGAGTCAAAAGTCGATATTCGATGAAACTCGAAAATAGTCGATTCCAAAGTCGACGAAGGTCGAAAGTCGAAGAAATTCTAAAATCGACGAAAGTTGAAAGTCGAAATCCAAGGAAGGTCGACATTCGGCGAAAGTCGAAAGTTCGTCGAAAGGTGAAAGTCGACGAAAGTTGAAAGTCGACGAGAGTCGAAATTCCACGAAAGTGAAAGGTCGTCAAAAGTCAACGAAACGCGAAATTCGACGAAAGTCAAAAGTCGAAAATCGAAATTCGACAAAGACAAAAGTAGACGAACCTCAAAAGTCGATTTGTCGAAAGTCGACGAGAGTCGTCGAAATTACGAAAGTCGAAAGGTCGATGAAAGTCGACGAAAGGCGAAAGTCGACAAAAGTCGAAAGTTTACGAGAGTCGTCGATAGTCGAAAGTTGACGGATATTGACGAATGGCGAAATTCGACGAACGTTGAAAATCGACGAAAGTCAAAGTCGATGAAAGTCGAAAGTTGCCGAAATACGACGAAAATCGAAAGTGGACGACAGGCGAAATTCGACGAAAGTTGATAATAGACGAAAGTCAAAAGTTGATGAACGTCGAAAGTCGACGAAATCCGATAATCGAAAATTGACGAAAGTCGAAAATCGAAATTCGACGAACCTCAAAAGTTGATTTAAGTCGAAAGTCGACGAGAGTCGTCGAAAGTCGAAATTACGAAAGGTCGTTGAAAGTCGACGAAAGGCGAGTCGAAAATCGACAAAAGTCGAAAGTTTACGAGTCGTCGATAGTCGAAAGTTGACGGATATTGACGAAAGGCGAAATTCGACGAACGTTGAAAATCGACGAAAGTCAAAGTCGATGAAAGTCGAAAGTCGCCGAAATACGACGAAAGTCGAAAGTGGACGAAAGGCGAAATTCGACAAAAGTTGATAATAGACGAAAGTCAAAAGTCGACGAATGTCGAAAGGTCGATAAAGTCCAAAGTCGACGAAAGTGGAATATCGACGCAGGTCGAAAGTCGAAGAAATTCTAAAATCGACGAAAGTTGAAAGTCGACGAAGTCGAAATCCAAGGAAGGTCGAAATTCGGCGAAAGTCGAAATTTCGTCGAAAGGTAAAAGTCGACGAAATTTGAAAGTCGACGAGAGTCAAAATTCCACGAAAGTGAAAGGTCGTCAAAAGTTAACGAAAGGCGAAATTCGACGAAAGTCAAAAGTCGATGATTCGACGGAAGTCGAAAATCTAAATTCTACGAAAGCCAAAAGTAGACGAACCTCAAAAGTCGATTTGAGTCGAAAGTCGACGAGAGTTGTCGAAAGTCGAAATTACGAAAGGTCGTTGAAAGTCGAAAGTCGGAAATCGACAAAAGTCGAAAGTTTACGAGAGTCGTCGAAAGTTGACGGATACTGACGAAAGTCAAAAGTCGATGAAAGTCGACGAATGTCGAAAATCGAAGAAAGTCGAAATACGACAAAAGTCGGCGAAAGCTGAAATTCGACGAAAGTCAAAAGTCGATGAAAGTCGAAATTCGACCAGTCGAAAGTTCGTCGATAGTCGACGAAAGGCGAAATTCGACAAAATCGACGGAAGTCAAAAATCGAAGGAAGTCAACAGTCGAAATTCGAACATAATAATAATCATAAATATAAGTATAAACGTATTTTAATAAAGGACGCTTTTTCATGTACCTTACCTTGCAATGATAATGAATGGTATCAAACTAAAAATCTTCTCAGTATGTTTTACCTTTACGTAGTTTGAATGAATCTCTTTCTAGCATCAGGCAAGCGCAATAACGTACGTTGGGAGCTAACTTCAAATTCATTTCAAAAGCCTCGTGGATCCTTCACGAAAAAATACAATGGGGTTTCCCTATGGTGCGTTCTACCTGGGACACACGGTATGTGTGCAGTTGCAAGGTGTAGTAAAATATCGTGCATAAGGTATTGGTACCATTCTGTGATTCTTTAGTACAAAAGAAATCAGATCTTATGTTTATTCACAAGTATATAGAATTTTATTGTAAATAAAAATTATTAACATAAGTATATAAACCTTCTTACATATAAATGAATAGGTGGGTAAATATGATTGATAACAGATGTATAGACTTTACATTCTGATTTGAAAACGTCCCGCTTTAGTGATATATTTCACTCCCTTAAACGGTTTGTACTTTTCACCATACATATCTAAACGGTTCACCTTTAATCCACTTATAGCTAGTTGATTAATTGTAAAGTGCACATTTATTGATGGATTTATGTCTGATGTATTTGCGCCTGTTGCAATAGAAACCTAAAAAAATATCATTAACTTATCTGAATGTAAAACTTGTGAATATCTGAACTGTTCCACGAATATTGGGCAGCTTGGTCACGTCAATTTTTCCAATCTCCCAATGCAATATCTTAGAAACGGGGTCGTAATTGTATTTCCCTTGATTTGATGTCAAACAACAATTTAAAATGCATTTTGGCATTAAAACTTCAATCTTCACGCCTACAAAAACAAATTGCAATGTTGTTTCAATTTTTTCAGTTACCTTCTACAGATCTCCCCAAAGTCTGCTTAGGACCTACAGTTAAATCTAATCGACCATGTTCACCAGTTTTAATTGACAAGTTGTGTCTAACGTATATGGGAATTGCAACAACACTTTGACTACCAATATGATACGACATTAAGCGAAAATTTCCGTCTGGAGGAATAAAGGATAGAACCCGTTCGCCCTAATCACATGTAGTGAACCTGTTCATTGAGAAAATCTATATACCTTACCTCCCATCTTTTGAACCTAACACAGGGATGGAAGCTAACATCATCAAAGAGCCTTGCATTAACAAATGATAAAGTTAAATCTGGCATTCCACTCAGTTTAATACAACAGTCAATCTAAAACATAACATAGATTATATTACATGCACAATTGACGCACTCCAGCTTGTTTAGGGTTTATCTGGAATGCACTCTACATGAATTCATACATATCCTTGTATTTCTGCAAATACTGTTACTCCGGCTTTATCAATTATGGCATCCACTTCTTCTACCACATCAAAATAGGCCTCGTTGTTTGTGTATTTTACGCCAGTTCGACGCCACGGAACATTAGAGAGCTGCCCGGTTGGTAATGAATCACTAACACTATGAACAATTGTTGACTATAGGTTGACATGTAAAAGTGAATCTCCTTACTTTGATTTTCCAGTAACAGTATTGGCAATAGTCCTGAGTATATTTGGAGGCTTAATCAGTTCCTTTAATATGTTGCTTTCAGTGGCTAAAGGAAATCCGTTATCTAGCATTTCATCTAAAAGCTAACCGACATTTTATGTACTAAGAGAGGATTAGTATTTCAAGTAACAAAAATACAGCTTCTGGGTATTCTTCTTATAAAAAAATGTAAGCGAGAGATAATGCCAGACACTATTTTACGTTACAAATTATGAGCAGTGTTAGGAGTGCTTCCAAAAGAGAAAAATAGCAAAATTTGAAATGGTATCGATTTACTTAATAAAGGTATTACTGAAAAAAATAAAAATCGAGGGAAAAATTAAGGAAAAAATGCTGTAAATGGTGAGGCTCGGTTAAATTTAGTTATCGCATTTGCAATAACTGTTTCTGTTACGTGAATTATCGAAGAGTTGAGTGAAACATTCCAAGAGTGTACTTGAAGAAATTTTGTTGCAAAAATTTTTAAGAGTTACTATTTGTCGCTAGGTGGCGCTTTAAGATGGCGATATACAGGGCGCTGCAAAATGGCGAATTAACAAAAACACCCATTGTACAGGAAAGAAGTGTTGCAAAAATCCATGTCGCCAGTTCTTAAATATTGAGGTTTTACTTAACGGTAAGTACGACAACTATGTTGAAGCAAAACATAACCACAGATATACGTAAAGAACGTATATCTGTGACACACTGATACGTTCTTTACGTACCGGGTGATTCATTAGAAGTGAGGACAATTTGAATTTTCCGCAAATCAAAAAAATTATGAAGTTGGTACTAACTGATGATCATTTATTTAATTGCAGTGTATCATCATGCATTCAGTAAATCTGTTTTACCACAAATTATAAACTAACACTAGACAGTCAGGTTTCTTACATATTTTAGTGCATCAACTCTAAAAATTGTTCAAAATGGAAAAAGTAATAAACCGCAAATGGCACACAACAATTAACGGCGACACTGGTTTCTTTAATGACAGTCATGACAGAAAAAAATTACTAACGAAATTCAAACTGTCAATCTAACAATGCAAAAAATACTAAAACCTTACGCGCGAAATTCAAGCGTTCATCACTTCTAATGAATCTGTGAGTTGTGACACACTGAATTTTAATCAGCACTATAGATTTTTTCTGAAATACAGCACTTTTTAACAGAAACAATTAGGTATTCTGAAACATTTTTAAATTTCATTTATTTCCTTTAACAAATCACGTAAGTTGATAACAAATACTGTGACGCTGTGGCCACCCAACATCGAAACAATTTGGAATAAATCCCCAATTCCCCTGTAAAAAGTGGTTTGATAAACAAACCCGCGGACAGACGAACTATTAAAATGCACTTTAATATATTTAATCCATACTGTTATTAAAGTAGTTAGAGCGCGTTCGGCTGAAGTCAAGTGATGTACTCGGCCTACCTATTACTTACGGTAACCGTCCCCAAAAAAATGTTGTTATGAAGGAAACATAATTAGAAATACGGTACGAGTGGTATTTTGTACCTCAGCACAATGCAAACGTCTTACATGATTTTTAAAAAGGTATATACAGTAGTCAACTTGACTAGTCTCCCTACTTTTCGACCCTGTTTCAAACCTTTGCACACTAAATGTTGACGACACACCGCGACTAAATATTCACAGTTAAGCGGTAAATCCTAAACGAATGTATTTCTTTTTAATCAAAACGTATGCGAGAGGTATGTAAAAGCGGGGAAACTAAATAATTTGGCGTTTTACGTGAAATCGGTGTAGTGGATTTGGTTTTTCGATGTTGGCGCCAGAGATCCCCAGCCGATATCTTGATCTCGATCCGATCAGTGTGTCAACAAGACGTGTGCAGGCCTTGATAAATATCGCTGGTTTTGGTGTTCTTTCTGAAAGACACCATGCCTTTTGTGAAGAAAAGTGCCCAGCAGAAGAAGGAAAAGATTGTCCTAGCTCAGCTATATACTAGACCTAGTGGAAAAGTCATCAGATTGAAACGCGTGCTGCATAGCGTGCCACCGCGTCAGAACAGACGCCGCTTCGGCGGTAAATATCTTCCTCATTTCATCATGAACATGTACTTTTCCGTGCATATTTAGATTCGTCACAAAATTTCGCTTCTAATGAGACCCATCTCATTTAAGTCTTGATACAAAAACCTTCGCTAGCTCAGAAAAACTGAGTCTGTCCATAAGAGCCCATGTTAAAATACCCTGTTTTTATTGTCAAATATCTCAGAAACGGCACATTAGGAACACTTTTTTCTTTTGACCATTGGAAAGTGCGTCTCTCAGAGAATAAGTGACCAAATTTTCACCAACTTCCTGTTACTTTTACCTAGGCGCTCTAACTACTTTAAAAGAATGATTGTATATTACAGTTAACACTTTGTGTACAGACCCATGTCTTGATTTATAAGGGCTAGAACCCCTCACCTCTCCATGACAAGCAAGATGAAAAGGTAAGAAACAGCAACAAAAGAAATACATTTATGAAATGTATGTTCTTGGTGGGTAAAAGTACGGTACATTTTCACGTATATTAGTCGAATTATCTTTTTATGTAGTGGTTGGAAAGACAGCACCTCCAGAAAATGGTAAGGGTTAGCTAAAAAAAATATATATGGCTTCGAGAGAGAGGACCGCAAGTAAGTTATCCTCAAGGGAAACTCATTGAAATAGGCTTGAACTAATATGATTAAAAGGCATTCTAGATGTACACTTACCTCATAAACTACCACATAATTCTCTTTAATTATGCTTTCTGTACAATCCGAGAAGTAATCCTAAAAATGTGCTAATTGCAGTTAAAAATTACACTCAAGACAGTAGTGGAAATGTAAGTAATTCTGTTTTACTTAAAATGACTAATCGCATTCCCATCATTGGTGAGTAAAAAACATCATACGGACTGATATGTGAAACCGAAATTAATGTGAACACATTTGCTGTATTACAGTGTACATTTGCTTAGTCCAAACCTACCATGAACTGTAAAAAATTTACACATATCTACATAAACACTGAGATAAACATCTATCCAAAATAAAATTGTAATAGGGAAGTTCCACCAGAAAACAGATTAAATATGATTACATTCCCATTACTCTGAGCAAATACTACAAACCTGAAAAGTATCTACAACTCTGTGCAAAAATTCGATAACAAACAGGGGTGGTACTTCTTGCATACATACAGCCACCAAACTAATTCCTCCCCTTTGAATAGATAATAAATAATGGTGAGGTGTAGCAATAACAGGTGGAACATCGTTAGGATTAGCACGCTGCGCTTCCAAGTAATAATCGCAAACAGATCGCGATACTACGCTACGCCAATGTTTTTCGAGAAATACATCACTGTATAAAGAGAAATACGATCAATTTTATTAACATGGTATGTGTTACCTTACCCTGATGCATTTATAATAAATAAACTGTGGATCATTATTCAATTGGTATAAAAAAAGTACAATAAAATAATCAAATTTATAATCACTTATTTCTAGGTTATGTATATTTGAACTACTGGCATTGTTTGTTGGCACATAAGTAGTTCGATTCTTAGAGAAGTAAAGAGCGAGGAGTCGGGAGTGACAATTACAGATCGTAAAGTGAAGCCCAAGTTAGTTTGTTGTTACACCCAAATCATGGCCGTCTACAGTTCATTGGCGTAACGCGTAACCAGGGCCGGAATACATAAGGCGAAATGGGCAATCGCCAGGGGCGAAAAGCAAATGGGGCGAAATTCTTCCTAATTATCAAAAAAATAGAAATAATAATCGTACAACTGTACAGTTGGCCTCACGACTCCTCAGGAGATGAAACTCAACTAAATGGAAAGAAAAGTATGAGAATAAACGTTTTTTATGCTATAACAACGGTCAACAAACATATTTTTTGCACATGGGATTTAGATAATAGGTATATTCTGACTATAATAAGCAAAAATAAATAAAAAGTGCGATTGGACATCGAAAATATTTGCTTTTACAAAAGTTATAGCGATTTGATCGAAAGCTTTCAGGGGCGAAAATTAAAGCTGGAATCTTTGTTTTCCCTCAAATAAAAAGAAATATGGAGTGTGATATTTCCCCGCAATTCATAAAACAACAAAAGTCATGGCTATTGCTACTAAAGCCCGTTTGTAACGATCACTAGTCAATTTTTAAATAATTTTTTTAGGAACAAAAAATTGAACATTTCATACATCAACTTTGATCAATTTTTTGGTAGTTATTTTATGAACTGAAAGTTGCCCTATTTTTGTAATGTTTAGAACCTGTCCTATTTTTCCCTCAATTTTTTAGTAACTTTTGACAGATAGGGAATTTGTAAAATTAAAATTAAATTTATATTCATTTTTAAAGCTCACTATAATACGTTGACAGTAGATAGAGACCTTAGTTTACAAATAAATATTTAGTCTCCAGATTTTATATAACTAAAGGTTATGTACAAAATGTTTACTGGTACTAAAAAATTGACAATATTATGGAATGTTACATACAGTTTCATCATTTATGACATTTTTAGGATAGCATTATCTTTATTGAAGTAAAAAAAGACTAAAAATTTGACTAAATAAGTGATCATTACAAACGGGCTGAATAACAAATGTTGAAATTTATTTCTAAATTTGCGAGTATACCAAAAGCTTAATAAAACGTGTAAAAACAGTTTTGTATGCACCTTTTAATTCTGAACAACTTTACAGTTTTTTTCTGTAAAATGTACAGGAGGGCAGGATATTGCATAAAACTAATTTCCCATGTTAAATCCCTATGTTCCTACTTACCGTGCACCATCCGGTATACAATTCAGTGCGTGAATAAAACGCGGCACCGTACGCAGAGTAGATCGTTTGCCATTTTGTAGATCAAATAAATCAAGTGTACTTGTACATGGACATTTTATCGAATCGAATATTTATTGTCAAATAATAATCTTCTTTTGGCTTTACTCGTTTCAAAAATTTAGAATTTTCTCAAAGTCGATATGGCTTTAATGAGAAATGTATTTAATTTGTGTACTAGAAATAATTCAATGATATATGTTTCAGTGAGAAATCGTAAGTTAATCTTAATTAAGGTTATATTATATAACTGGCATTACCTATATTATTTGTTAAGATTGGAATAAAGACTATGCACCCGCTCCTTTTCCGAAGACACAAGAGGAGCGTTTGGCAGCGATTGAGAAATACCAAGTAATGCCATCGCAGTATAAACCTTATGAAGATGATGGATCTGGTTGCGGCGATTATCCAAATCTACCTATTGTATCTGGGGATGCACGAGATCCGTTTTATCCTTGGGATCACCCAGAAACCAAACGAAACTTTGGTGAATTGGTAACGTAGCTTGTTAGCAATTATGCTACCTTATTTGTTCATTTTAGATTCATGCAGAAGAAGAGATGTATGCCGAGCACCGCTACGATATAAGTGCACGGCTTCGTGTACCTATACGTCTTCAAGTGTTGCAAACAGTTGGAGTGATGTTGGGATTATTTACAATTTATTGTTGTCTTGAAAACGTTAAATTTTTCCACTCTCTTGCAGAGAAACAATATCCAAAACCGGGTGAAAAACATTACACCTTTGAATTGGAATAATCATGATTCATGAAATAGGTTTCATTATACGAACGCTGTTAATTCATTAAATGTGTAATAAGTTGAATTGAATTTCTGTATATAATTTCAATAATATAACATGCTCTTATTCTCGCCAATCAAGTGATCCCTTATTAGCTTTAGGGCTCATACTTTGCTTTCAATGCACTGTATGTATTGTAGAATAAAATCAATCAAATAGTAACTATTTACCGGCCACGATCAAATACAGAAATGTTCGAATGCAAAATACAAACATGATTTATGCTGGTCGTCCACTAGAAACAAAAACAAGCTGCTACGAGCTTATGCAACACGAGGCGCAAATCCTAAGCATTGTATTTTCATCTCGATTTTCATGTAACCTCGTCCACTAAAAGCAAATTTGAGCCGGCGGCTATGAGCATAAATGAGCGCGCGCTACAGTTCCGAGCAGAATGGGGTTTCTGAACATGATTCCAGGAAGACGTGGGTTGAGGGTTGAAGAAAAAATTTCTTTGAGCAAAAATGCTATACTATAGGCTCTTGGAGAACTGTAGCAAATAAGCAAAAGTAATTTTCTTATAGCCTTTGTGCCATTTGATACTTATTTATTAAATGAAAGTATTTAAACAATGGTATGTTACACATTTCCGTGCCTTTGTATGTTGCTTTTCTCCATCAGCAATATGAAATAAGCTCAAAATCATAATTTCATTTGATTTTCCTTGTCGCAAAAACACAACCTGCCTTAACAATGTCGCAATTTCGCCTTTGCGGTCGCCAAATGCGAGCGCAGCTTAATCCCTGTGTGGGTTACATATGCGCACATGTTTTCAGTCAGTCTCCACAACCAACACAGTTTGGGAACCATCACTGTATGCGTAGTCGGTAATGTGTCCCAAATAGCCATGCTTGTCTCTTTTACAGGTGATACATACATTTACCTTGATTTGCTGTAGAGTGCATACATTGGTTATATTCGACAAAAAAAACATCTGTTCATAGAAAGGCCACAAAGAAACGAATTCATGTGGTGGTTCCTGTCCTGATTTCAGAAATATTTTATGTTTCCTCCGAAAGGAATCAGGAAGAGCTCCTTCCACTTCTTGATAATCTGATAGAGGTAATGAATGTCTGTCCGTCACACGTACTCCATCTAAACCATTGAACCGATTTTGGCGATATAGGACTCATTTGAAAGGCTTTGGTCCAAGGATTCCGTGCATACCCATATTTTTTGTTTTCCGCATGCGCAGTGTCAGAAATTTGATTAAACGCATGTGCGATGCTAACTTTTTTAATTATTTATGATGATATTTAAATTAAACTTTGTAGGTATGTAAACACTACGAATATAAGTAAAATTAACGACATTGTTTTGCGCATTCGCAGTGCCAACTTTCTTATTTATGAAAGAATTTAAATGAAATTTTATACATATTATAGCTATTTGTGTATTAAGAGCGCAAAATGATATATTGTCGATTGAAAGAGACAGTTGACGCGCGACGAAGGAGCGCGGCAGTCTCTTGAAAAACATGACGTTTGCGTTGTCAAATACGACTAATACGAGCGCAAATGCCTACTTTGGATATTGATTGTAGAAAAAGGCATTTGGCATAAAGACAACTATAATACCAGTTGCAAAATTTGGTTCTGCACATGCGCAATGCTAACTTCCTTACTTACTGAAGCATTTAAATGAAATTTAATACAGGCACTTGGAATACAAGCAAATCTTACACCAGTTTTAAAATTTGGTTTTGCGCATGCGCAATGGCAACTTTATTATTTACGAAATCAGTTAAATGAAATATCATTTGTTATTACTGTTCCGATATGTAATTAATCCCACTAAATGCAGTGTTAACTTTTTCTACCTAATGTCGTCGATTTAAACAAACAATTCTCTCACCAGTCAAAACAAGCTCACTGCCACAACAATAAATTTTTCGTTTTCCTAAGGCAGGAAAGAAACATGAAAGAGAATTCACCAAACTTATTTGCTATAATAACAACCCATTGTCTTCTGTTACCGTAATCGTCTGACGTTCCTATTAAAATGCAGACAAAATGGAACCCATCCTCCTAGTAATAATCTTTATTTCCCTTGGACATATAAAAATAAAAAAATGTATACCTAGGGCACGTCAGTAACAAGAACCTTAGTGTAAAGAATAGATTTTTTTTTTAATGCGAACATACGCTTTTGTATATATGCAATGTAATTTCCCAATGAATAAAGAATAATTTCCCTATGTTCGATTTAAAAAAAAACGCATTCCCACCAGCGCAAAACGCGCAACTTGCCTGGCTATGAACCGCAACGGTTCCTGTAGCCTTCATGATGAAGAGCACTCGGTAAGATTTTTTTTAAAGAAGCCATGTGAGGCCATAGTAACTTTAGGATAAATTTTTCTTAAACTTACGATAACTTGTCCTCACAGGGCACTCGCTGTCATCACAGTTCATTGTGAACCAACCTTTAATTATTTGTAGGTCATGTGCACCTTATATTCTACTAATACTAATTTGATCTATTCAATACACACATGAAGAAAATAAATAACGAAAACAATTACAATAAATGTTCGAAGTGACCTCCTTGACATTCTAAGTAATCACCTAACCGATTTCGAAATATAAAAATGTGACAGCTGTCAATGTTATCTACTACTCATTTGAACTACTCAATAGATTGATCAATGAATAAAGATTGATGTTTTTTTTAAAATCGAACATGGGGAAATTACTATGTTCCCTTTAAAAAAATTCACTGCATGTAATGAAAATGAATTTTTCTAACCGTAAAACACAGACGTTCTTCAGGAGATTTAGTTTCTTGGCCTTTATAGAATTGAGAATTTATAAATAGTTCGGATGACCCATTGAGTATAATAATCAAAAAACTTCGGAGGATCCTTGTCTAATTCACGATGGAGAAGATCGAACTCTCTTTTCCAATATATGGTTTACTCCGACGCAATCTTATTTTTGAACTCTTTTCCGTCTTCTGTAAAGAGTTTCTAAAAAGTACGCTTCTTCTGCATCCATTTAATTAATATTTAATTGCAAAACACAACAACCACTATTCCAGTTCGCTACTACTGAGCAGTGAAGCAGCCCCCAATGGACGACCCCTGTAGCACAAGTTTGCTTGTTTCGCATAAGCGCGTACTTATTAGCCACTTTGTTTTCTCTTCTAATGGACGACCAGCCTTAGTCTGAGTTTATAGTGAAGCGGCGAGCGTCGAGGTAAGCGTCGCTGTTCAGATCGAGGTTCACCTCCATGTAAACAAACGTTATAAACCTAACTGCCCTTTCACAATCATGTTAATGTTAATGGTAATGGTAACGTAATGTTAGAATATTAAACTCCAGATAATGACATTACAAGCAAAGCGTTCACAATGATGGTAATGGTAATGTTAACGTAAGATGGTAATGTTAAGGTCCAGAAATTTTCTGGATCTACTAACATCGGCGTTAACATCCTCCAATAGAATTGCAGCTACGGTAAAATGCAGCGCCAAACGCAACTTGCAAAATGCAAACTTGAATTAAAGGTTATATTTTTACGGCCCGTCAAACAACCACAGACCAAATCAAAGAATTTAAACAGACAATTTATTTTTCGTTGCGCTCTCCAGCGCCACCACAAAACACTGTCACTCTTGAGTGGGGGAACTTCCTCTACCATCAACATTAACAGTATTGTGAACAGGGTTACCATTACCATTACCTCTTAACATTACCATTAACATGATTGTGAAAGGGCAGTTATGGAGGCGTTTATAGTAAAGACGTGAAGATAGCTTTGCACGACGCGATGCAGCTAGCGGAAATGATAGAAACAAAAATGTTTGAATTTGTAAGCGGTTTACATAGCGGTCGGATAGTATCGGCCGCTTACGGTCTTTTATTATGCTTACGACGAAAAACACGTGTTCTTTTTTCACGTACTTCTGGATGCAGTTTTGTGTATATGCACACGTTCTGTGCCAAATTTCACAGAATGTAATCAAATGTTGATATTGACATGCGAAAATATTGCCGAAATTTATCGGGATGGTCCCTTAGCTTGTTGTACAAACGAGCAAACTGTCCAAGAGTCTGGCGATCTCTATTGATTGGATGCATTGACCACCTTCGAACGCGATGCGACTGATCAGGAGTAAACAAACTATTAATGATTTCAAATTTTATATAACTATTTTCCGCTGTAAATGACAATGCAACCGTTCTTCGCGACATCTTTGCAGATACTACCCCTCACCTCGAGGTGTACCACGACGCTATGCACTATAATTTTGCCGACTCGATGCTATCATCGATCATGTATCGCTATCCTTGTACCGCTATGCTATCCTCGACGCTCGCGGCGTCACTATAAACTCAGACTTAGGGTGCGTTTATGTTGAAGCCGTGATAAGTGATAAGAGCGTCGATACTAGCGAAGCATAGAAAAGTGTAAATGTACTTAGCATAGATCTGTTTATATTGGAGCAGCGCGTTAATCATTCTTGAGTCGCCAACCAACGATAATAGCGTCGATAATCTCTGCACGCATTTTCTTCGCTCTTGTCGAGTATGGATGTAGAACTTTTAATCAGTGAAATTTTTGTCAGGCCTCCATTATCGGACCAAAAAACAAAAACCACCAAAAAAGGTTCATTCTGGACAAATAGTGAAAGGAGTTGGCACTAAATTGAAAAAAATTAATAGAAGGTTTTCGCCTATTAGTTAATAACTTTAGTGCATTTTCAGTGAATTGATCAGTAATTCCCAAAAAGTAGCACAAGCAGCCAAGAGGAGGAGGAGACAAAAAGAAAGGCAGGGAGAGGACAACAATAAGAAAAGGAGAAACAGGCAGGAAGGAAACGAGACCAAAGGAGGGAGGCATCGGAAGCTAATGGAACGCCCGAGTGAGGGGCCATCACCAGGAAGCCGAGTTCCCTCTAATACAGATATTCCATTGGCGAGACTGTGGTCGTACCCTTTCGGGTCGGACAACACCCAGCGCCCCCCCCCAACCTCCCCATTCCACAAATTCCACCACACTGTTTGGCATACGTCGCGACCCAACGTAATGGCAACAAAGTGCTGGAGATGCACCCCCATTAGTTCCTACCAGGAGCACATACCCACGACAGTTGACTAAATTCTGTGAGAGGCGGTTACGCCAGGCATATGGCAAAGTATCATGGACGATGTAAAATTCGTTAATGTTTTGACTACTGAGTGATGAGTCCTGCGCTAATCGAAGCTCGAACATAAACACCGCATTAAAGCAGAGCGCGGCACTCTGCTCTTGTCGCTGCTCCTCATCGACGCTCTTATCACTTATCGCGGCTCCAACATAAACGCACCCTTAGTCATATTTACAGCTGCGTGAAATTTTGGTGCTTACTTGAAATATTAATTAAAATTTGTAAACACATTCAATTGTTAAATATTGGTAGGCATTTGAATACTCAACATCTATTTAAATATGTACCTATTCGTTATTACACAATCGTACAACAATCAAACCTGCATTAACTTTACATATGGTACTTGGATTTTAGCAGGATACTTACAGTGTGTCGTGGATTTTATTAAAACATGCAAATTCCATAAAATATGTCTTTATGGTCAATAGGAAAGATTAAGACCACCATGTTAAAGCGATCGCCACACTGAGCGCGGTGCGCCGCGTTGAATTGTTTTATGCTTGTCTTATGAAGCACGTCACACAGGACGCAGTACACGGCTTGTCCACTCGCGGGCAGGTTTGGATCGCCTCGCCAACAGTTTCTGGAGATCTGCCGCGCGCAGTCTCCAATCAGAGACGAGATATCAGAGTGGTAGACTTTGATATAGTGAAAGTGTTTAGTCTGTCTGCAAGCTGCAAGGGTGTAAGTAAGAATATTATCTCCAAAAGCAAAACATCTTCTAATTCACAGCCACAGGTAATCTATTCTGCCTGGAAATTCAGAAAGGTAATGCGATATCTGTTCTAGCAACAATTCCATACCAAAAATATTTTAACGAAGTTTTTTATATTTTACATTGAATTTATTTTGTTACTCTTGCATTTAATTGTTATAATATAGTTAAATATTTATACATGGTTAAAAAAGTTTGAGAAACGCTGTAATTTAAAAAAAAAAGTATCTACAGGTAGTAACCTTTTTATTTTCTCTTGTGCTAACCATATTTTGAATTGAATTACGTGTCACAATGTTTTCAAGTTAATTTTGTGTATTGTGAATGATGTTTTTTTCTTAATTTCTGCGTTAAGTGTACGTACTGATTGTAATTGCTAATTTTTGCATTGTGAATGAAGCTAATTTGCATAAAACTATGATATTTGAAACGTGGCATATGCTCCAGCTTTTGTTTAGCTTTAGAGTACTGTTACTGAATCATTTTTGTTCGTTATACTGTACAGGCAAGGCACAGATATACAGAAACAACAGATTGCTAACCTTATGCATTTAATGAGAACAACACATTTGTACAGTGACTATAGAGACAGTGCTGACACATTAGTGTCTAATTTTTGATTGATTTGTTGAGATTGACGGCCATGTTGCATCGAGTACCTACAGGCTGATTCAAATTCGAAGGCCACCATATGAGGATCTTGGGAACTGTAAGAGATAGGTACGTAGTTTAAATTTGGCAAAGTTTCGGAGATATTAATGAAAGTCTTTTTTATTTTTTGTGTCATTTGATAGAGCATTTTTTCTGATTTCAAAAATCACTATTCTTTAATAAGAAATGGCGCTATTAATTCGTAAACTTCCATAAGAAAATAAAGTCATAAGCTACTAAAGGCAAACATCGCACACTAAACCACGAACTCTTTGCCAATTGTTACGCCCATCAACCTGCAATTAGAAGACTGGCCAGAGGACCTCACTGATGAACAAATCCTGGAGACTCGCGAGTGGGTGTCGCTAATTAATACACAGTTTTTTCGGGTTTCACTCTTAAGCATGAGACGTACAGTTTGAGTATAAACAGTAATTATAGAAATTGCAAGGTGAAAAGCATAAGGTAAAGACGTTGCGGTTTTTTCACCGAGCCACTGCTCCATAAATTGTGCAGGGTGTTTTATAGCTTAGCAATACACGCCAGAATATCTAAACCCAAGAAACCATCGGTAAAGGTATCACAACAAGAAAATTCGTGCGGTCTTTTCCACACTACGTCATGCTAGCCGTCGTTGTAGTTACCGCACGGGCGGCTCGGGTTCGATTCCCGGTCGATGCAGATTTTTTTTAAAGTTTATTGATTGAGCATTTCTACATTTCGCCAGAGTAATGCTGATTGTTGAGGTAGGAAGTCACACACGCTCTTCTCAATAGGCGTTTTTTCAAGCGCTACCAAGCGGCGCGGCGTGTGACTGTTGCGTCGAAGGTGACATCCGCGAAACTGAAATATAATAGCAGTCACTTCCAGTGCATCAGAGATGAAAGTCTCCTCAAACTTGGTGCCATTTTATTACAAATGTATTTGTAAAAAGGTATAGCTTTTTTAATCGCGCTTTGGCCGACTGGCATCAAATGAAAAATTAACACGTTTAGAAAGAGGAGTGTACGTGAACTACCGGGCCGTGTAATTAACTTTAGAAATGGAGCTACATGATCTGGGAGCGGCGACATCTCCGAACGTGGGTTTACTAACGTGGTGATTTTCAGTTTTTTCCCTAGGGGCGAAATTAACCACCTTTTGCAAGGCGTGCGTCTTCGAGAGGTAGTCGACTTCGAGGGTCAAATAGTTTCTTTTAGCGAAATCTACTAAAATGGCAATTGCGGGTGAACGAGACGTCGGTAGTAAAGTTCCTTCGATCTCACACGAGGACTTTGATAATTTCTTAAAGAACGGCGGCCTCGGTACGTACGCTTTCCACGCAACAAATTTGTCTTGCCTTGTATGGGGGCGCTTCTGAATCGCGCGGTGTGAAGGGGTCGCGCTTCAAGCAGTGCGCGTTTGTGTAGCGGAAATCCGGTAAAGGTCGCGCAGACACGCCACTCCGTGTTAAGGCGTCCAAATATTATTTCGCTCCCAGCGGCGCCACTATGCAGCGCTTCAAAAATGCCCAGTGAGAAGGCCAGAAGAGTAGATATAAATTACCAATAATTACCTATTTAAAAAAAATAAAAAAGTAAGTTTTGGAACTTATGACGTCACCGATCTGAATTCATTTGATTACAAAGGATTTTTTATGAAGAGCTCTCTGATGATGAACGCAACAGCGCTCAACAGACTGCAGATGGATTTGAGCTAAACCTGTAGCTATGGTGTTTTTTGGTCTAATTCTAATATTACTCTCGATCATTTCTATACAGCAAGGGAAGTTAAACCAATCATTCAAAGGTTGAAAAGAACATAGGTACAAAAGAAAGAGTTATTGACAATAAGGTGTTCCTAAATCAATCACTTTCCCTCTTACATTCACATTTTGGTATGTTATAGCTGTCTTTATAATAGGTAGCCCTAAGAGGTTTGAGATCTCAAACAGATGTCACACGCGGGGGTAAGTATTTAATTTTAAATATGAATTCTATGCCTTTTAGTATCATAGTACCTCATCTCATCAAGGGGAGTAATCGTACGTCTCCTTGATTAAAATTTGAACTGCTTCCCCTTGCAATAGTGGGTGAAATGTAGCAAACTGTAATCATGTACTCAAACATTAGTTGTATGAGAATCTCCACCGCCAGATGGGTTGGCTTTGGTTTCTGCTCCTTAAACACAGCATCTATGTTTAGCTGTTCTTATACTTACCTGTTTAGTCCTTTTAGCCAACGCATCACGGGAAGTCCTTACAAGCACATATCTAGATTCAAATGCATAAGCGAGGTGTACTATGCCTAAGCTCTAAGTCTTCCCATCATATTATCAATTGTAAGCAATCTAATTACTACCCACAACTGAAAGAATGAAGACATTATTAGAAGGTAGCACAAGACTGTGTGAACCAAAACAGAAGGGCCTTTGAAATGCTATCATGTCAATGTTACTTACAAAGAATATACAAAAATTACGATTATCTTTTCAACTGTACAAACGAATTGATTACCAATTTTTTAGTCCATTCTTGAAAAGGCTTAGACAAAATTTGAACACCTGAAATGAAATGTTTAATTCTTTTACTTTTTAACAATGTGAAAGAAAGAAATGTGTTATGTCTTGGCGATTACAGACATGTACCGAAAAAAAGAACCATAATCTCAATTGGTAACAATTATTCAAAATGACTATACCAAATGCCCAATAGAACCTCATTTTCATTAGCAATCATCCAGACAACAAAATAATATTCATACAAAAATCAGGAAAAGAAAACAATAATAAGCTAACAAATAAAAAACAAATATATTTGTTATGGTACAGCAATAAACAGTTATTTTGAAAAAAATTATACATATTAACACTTTAATAATACTACAATTGGACTAGTTTGTGATGAAATACGATTCATGGATGCACGGTCTCACTTTTAAACATTAGCTACCTATAGTTAAAAAATTAAGCACAAAAATTTCGCATAGTGAAAATGCATAGAAAAATACTAAATGATTTTATGGAAAATGATGATGTATTTATGCACATCATTTGTACATTTTAATTTATCGGTTCCAAAATATCTACCTACTTCCTTATTGACAAATTACAATTTTTACACAAACAATGAGCCACCTTAGGTTTTTATTGTTTAAAAAATTGAGCATTAGAAGAATGTAGGCACGATCAGGTACATAATATAAAACTAATATGTACACTTGAAACGAAGCTAGGAGGTAATGGGTGTAATTTGTCGACCAACTGAAAGCTCATTTATTCACAACCGTTTAAATATTACTTTGCAAAGATATGTACATGAGTAGAATTGCGTTAAAAAAATAAATCAAATCTGTGTTGCTAATGATGTGCACTTAATCTCTCACAATATTCGTTAAAAGTACTTTATCAAGCACATTGTGTTTACGCACTGATTAGCACATTAAATACATCAAGTTTGGTCCCTTATGCCCCACTAATAATGACTAGTTTACTAGTTGGGTCTCCCTGAGTATGGTCGATCTGGTAATCGTGGAGGTATATTTGGAACAGGACGGCTGTAAGAAGCAAGTGATATTGTTAACCCTGTTTATATTACAAATTTCATGCATACTTAAGATCCTGCATTTTTTATTTTTAAATTAATTAAATTTTTAATATTAAACGATAGTAATTACAAACAAATGTTGTTAAACTTCAGCCCTCACACTTACAAAATATTTTAAAGCATTTAAGCAGAATTTAGCAACCCTCTATGTATGTACTTTGGCAGCAAAAGTAAATTGCCGTACATATTCTGTACACTAAGAAGATAGCACTCTCTCTGACTGAGACTATTGCTATTGCATGATAATACATGGTGACGAAATCACAATATAAACGATCATAATTTTGCAAAATCTGTTGTGTACAGTATATATGCTTTAAAAACAAAATTGCCACATTTTTTCACTTATAATTGCACAAGAGGTTTGTATTTTACCGAGTAAATTTGGGTTGTTTAGGTAATGAAAATCTGTTGCCTAGCAATTAGACGAGAAAAACTGTCAACTAATAAAAATGCGACACCGCAGGTGGAGCATTTTTAGGTTGACAGTTTTTCGAGTTCAATTGCTAAAAGGAAACAGATTTGAATTGCAACAACCCAAATTTACTCGGTTTAAATACAAACCTCGAGTGTAATTCGGCAGGACAATTTAACGAACAAGAAATTCACCAAACTAATCAATTATTGACAGACGTCAAACTAGTCATATGGGAAAGGATAATGCGATAATTGGTTCGAAAATGAATAAGTGAAAAAACCACTAGTGCATTTGTCGCTGGAAAAGTTGCAGGTAACTTTTGCCGCTGTCAAAGTGACAATTTCACTGCGGCTTATGCGATTTTTTATACATGAGTTGAATTGTCAAAATAAAAGTTACATTTTGTAGGAATTGCCTAAGTCATTGTGCGCACGTCAGTTCAATGTAGGCCTATGCAATTCGTTTTCAATATTGGTGTAGAAACTTTAGAACCTGTTACATCCCCCCCATCCTTCTGACCACAGATGCTTAGAACGATTATCAGATATCCAAACGAAACAATTTAGAGACCCTGTTCTGGAAAAAAGGTGAAGAGTGGCAGCTGGAGTGTAAAAGTCGTCTAAAAATTAATGATCGCCAAAAGTTTTCCCGTGAGCACCTTCTATGGGCACTTTCTTTTTGAAAAGTAAATCTGTTATCAGAATTTCCATAACATGCTAGTTGTAGAAGCTGCAGAGTACTATTACCTTATTTCTTATAGACGCCATATTGAATTTTTACAGAAAGATAAGAAAACAAAAAAGAAATTAATTTGAATGCATCACCATCATCGATACCGCATCATAGTCATGTTGATTTAGCAAGATACCCGTGCATGTTTTGTTGAGATCTGAATGTAAGATTTGATTTTGAAATATTTCTTGTAAATTAATGTAAGTATGACGTGTGAGACGTCATTATTTTTTGTCCTCTTAGTCTTATCTCATTTCATAAAAATCCAATATGACGTCCTAATAACTGATTTTTTTTTTAAATAAAACACCCCGTATATTTTTGGTTGTTTCGATTTTTTGTCAATGTTGCCATCTTATGAATTTTTTTCGGGATCGCCATAAGCAAGCCTCACCGTTATGAAATATCTCTAAGAACCTAGTTGTTTGAAGCTAAGACATAAATTTGAACAATAATGTTCACAAAGAAATGGTAAACTTTCCGAATATCAAAGTACCATAACTATTTTTTTTCCAAATGGAACTACCACTATTTTGCCATTTGATAGTTTTTGTGTTCAATTTATATACAAAACGTCCTATGTCTAAACCTCGTAGATTTTTTTAGGTTATTCAATATTTGTCACAAACGCACCTACCTATTTATTAATTACATATTTGTACATCGGAGTAGGCCATGATAATAAAAACAAAAGGATGACCACAAACAAATGTCACAAATTAATTATTTACTGCAAGTATACTCCCTATTTCGGGGCAAAATAAGATTGCTTCAAAAAACAAGGTAGCTAAAAGTCATCAAAGTGATGCTTGCTTATGTGGAATTATTCGGGAAAAAAATTAATAGGATGACAACATTGACAAAAAAACAAAAAGTGAATAGGTTTCAATGTACAGGTAAACAAATGACATCGAAACACTTAAATACATACAGTAGGATACCCTGTACATTCAAAAATATAGATGCGCAACCATCTATAGATTTTGTACGAAGTATGGGATAGGAAAGAACGACACACTGTTGCAGGGCCCTCTATATGATCAAACATGAAATTTTAAGACTTTAATCAACATCCCATATTTCAAAATATTTTACGCTTAAAATTTTTCGTTCCAAATTGCATTTGCCTACATTTTCATGACTGTGCCAAACTGTGTGATACCATTTGTGCCAAAATAAAACATATAAATCGCGATTAGATATACAAAAGAAGCAATTAAAAAGAAAGTTGAAGGACTTGATTTACTGTATATTATGTTTTAGTTTCATGTGTGTCTGAGCAATTATATATTTGTAAATTTATACCGAAAATGCACATAAATGTAAACGAGTTATGTACAGAGTGAGTCCAACCATTGCGCGGAGTAAATTACTGCCTTGAAGATAAGGGTGAATATTGTCCACATTTTAAAAATATTTTGAAATTGAACTTTGTGGGGTCACAAAGTAGGGCGCTGAAAAGGTACATTTTTTAAAATGTAGTAAATTTGAATGCATTTTTTAATTTTATGTGTAATTTTTTTTATTGCATGATTAATATACGAACAATTTGTAGTTTTAAAGATAATTCGAGTTATAAGAAAAATTTGGTATTTGCAAACGCCAGTCTCAACTTCATATGAAAATCTCACCTTTTTAAATGGGACACCCTGTATATGTTTCTTATTTTTTAGCTCCTCCAAAAACTTTCAACTTTTGGTGCTAATGTCCTATACTCTGAGTTTTCAAAATATGGTTTTCTTGGTTTTTATATTTTGTGTTGCCTTTATTTTTGAGTGGGCGGGGTTTCAGCCAAGGCTGCTCTACCAACCCAACCTACTATACATTTACAAATATCCATGCCCGAATTCGGATTCGAACCAGGGACCCAGCACCACAGTCCAGCTTTAACTGAACTGCGCCACACGCATAGGTATATTTGTTATTATTTGAAAATCTTCATCATATCTAAATCATATTGATTAATTCATTATAATAATAATAATAATGTTTATTTAGTAAAAAACAATTTCACATTGTAATGCATCGTCACAAACAATACATTTACGAGGTGGTCTTCACAAAATCAAAAAAATTCTTTTTTTTTTCTTTTATTTTTAAAATAATTCATTTTAAGTCTAAAAACTGGAAAATTAACTTGATAACACTTGACTACAAAACGAATTTAATTTCAGTCCTAATGTCATCCAGTCAGTGACATTAGTTTCATATTTTTGCCTGGCCACTTCGTTATTATGTAAATTATAACCTATTAACTATCAGAGAGGGGTATAGGACATTATTACCAAAAGTTGAAGTTTTTTAGAGGAGCTAAAAGATGAAAAATATACAGGATGTTCCATTTAAAAAGCGAGATTTTTAATATGAAGTTTAGTAACTTTGGACCGTCAAAGAAACCACCCCGTAAATTTATTTTTAATTGTTTCATAGTAAATTTAATATTTACTTACTTTACCCAGAATAACAGATATAGAGCCTGGAATTAAAATTTAAGTAGTAATTTTGCCAATAAGCTCACGATTTTTCTTATAAATTGAATATCTTTATAACTACAAGTTCTCCGCATATTAACAAAAAAAAAATAAAGTCGTGCAATTACACGTATGTAGAACTAAAAAATGCATTCATATGCAGGAGGTTCCATTTAAAAAATGTACTTTTTTAGCGCCCTACTTTGTGAACGCACCTTGTATAATTGCAAATATTTTTCAAATGTGGAAAATATTCAACCGTATTATAATACAAAAACACTCGATCAAAAAATGTTACCTTCAAAGCATCAAGTTACTCCACGCAATTGTTCACTCACCCTGTACACATCTGCATATATTTCATAGGTTTTTATATATCGCACATGACAATATAATCGTACTTCAAATATATTTACATAAAGAGATATAGCAATTTGTAATCTAACTACTAATCCTCATACGTTATACTTAATATACCAGTTGGAATTGCAGTCCTATCACATTTAACATAAATGTTTATCAACTATGCAGGATCTTAATTACGCAAAAAGATTAAAATGTAATAGTCAGTCCAACCGTAAGCATAGTGCATAAGCTGGAAAACAGTTAAGCGTCAACAATGCCAAGGTAGGAAATGCCCACACCACTCTACAGGGTGTTTTTTTGGGAGTTTAGGTTAAAAGTTTCTGGGAAAGTAAAATAGGTAGGTTTTTGAAAATTTGTACTTAGGAGTTACTCTGAAGGCCGAATTTATGTAAAATATTTTCAAAATGGCCGCACTTCCGGAAACACCGGAAGTAGATAGTAACTTCGTTATTTTAAATGGCAACCCCTATTTTTTATTGCATTTTTGGATTCTACGTGAAATTTCAGTTCTTTTGATACCCATATGTCGATATCTACCATTTATGGTTTTTAAGTTATTTTGACTTTAAGAAAAAAAATGGCGGATGCAGATGGTACCTTGATAATTGATTACTTGAAAACGGTTATAGTCATGGCAATCCATTTTTATCAGTGCATAGAGAATGAATAGGGCTTTCTTTTAGTGTACTTAAAAAAAAATTAAGTTGCGTACAACCGCACCTATGGAGATCCAAATTTAAGAAACTTCAAAGTCCAAAAACTCAGGTTTTTTTAATGGAATGACCATGTTCTTCCTATTGCATGAGATAGAGAATCGAAATTGGAATATTTTGATACTACATGTTCCTATAGCTATCTTTAACATTTTCTGATTTATTCCTATTTCATTGAATTGATGCCATTTTTTTTGCATTTTCATTTTAGTAGTTCACCATGATTTTATAACAATCGAATTTTAAACAAATCAAGAAAAGGATTCTTTAATATCATTGATTCTAGTCTAAATAATTCATTAATAAATAAGTCATTTATTAAGGATATAGGACGGAAAATTTTTGAGAAATCTAGACAGAGTCGTTCAACTGAATTTCTTAAACAACGTATAAGTCTAAAAATTCAGAGAGGTAATGAGATATCTGTTCTAGCAACAATTCCATACAAAAAATGTTTCAACGAAGTTTTTTATATTTTACATTGAATTTATTTTGTTAATCTTGCATTTGCAATTCAATTCATTTTCTTAAATATTCTCTTGTAGAGCTTTTTATCACTTGTGCTTCAACGGTTTGTAGTGCATTTGGGGATACAACATTTCCAAAATTCATACAATTTCGTTCCAGCCTTCGAATGAATGTACGGCAAGCATGTGCCGCGATTCTGTCCATTTCACCATAAATAACAATTAAATTCAAAAATAGGTGAAACCACTGCGAGTCATTTTTCGATTTTTGAAAAACTTATGTTAACCTATAACAGTAGGTGACGGATTAGTGTCACTAGAATTGTTTAAAATTCAATTGTTATAAAATCATGGCCGACTACTAAAAAGAAAATTCGAAAAAAATAGTGTCAATTCAATAAAATGGGAATAAGTCAGAAACTGTTAAAGATAGCTATAGGAACATGTATTGTCAAAATATGCCCATTTCGATTCTTTATCTCATGCAATATTAAGAAAATGGTGATTCCATTTAAAAAAACTGAGTTTTTAGTCTTTGAAGTTTCATAAATTTGGATCTCCATAGGGGCGGTCTTACGCAACTTAACTTTTTTTGAAGTACACTAAAAGAAAGCTGTATTCATTCTATATGCACTGATAACAATAGGTTGCCATGACTACAACCGCTTTCAAGTAATCAATTATCAAGGTACCATCTGCATCCGCCATTTTTTTTATTAAAGTCAAAATAACTTAAAAACCATAAATGGCAGATATCGACATATGGGTATCCAAAGAACTGAAATTTCACGTAGAATCCAAAAACCCAATAAAAAATTGGGGTTGCTATTTAAAATAACGAAGCTACTATCTACTTCCGGTGTTTCCGGAAGTGCGGCAATTTTGAAAATATTTTACATCGATTCGGCCTTCAGCGTAACTCCTAAGTACAAATTTTCAAAAACCTACCTATTTTACTTTCCCAGAAACGTTTAACTAAACCTCCCAAAAAAACACCCTCTATACACAAACCCCAAGACAGGATCTAGGTTAAAAGGAGAGATTATGAAATCAACATTAATAATTACTTCTATATTTACACATCCAAATGAACTACAATCTTTGTAAGTGCATTGTGGTGCACTTTATACGTTACTGGTTTCAGTATAATCTTATTTTCAGAAAGTATCCTTATTTACACATACAATATTAATCAAATAATATACAGTGCTCAAATATACTTTTTGCAAAATAACTTTTTGAAATATCTACAATACAGAGAACATGACCATATATCACTTTTGTGTATTTTATACAACTTGGTCTAATTTAAAAATCACTAATATTTATAAATCTGTCTAATAGACATTTCAATTTTAACAATATTATCAGCATTTACTTCTAATTTACAATGAAACATTGTAAACGGCTACTCTGGACTTGATCAAATATATCGGATACGCAACGAATGAAAATAAGTATTTAAATAAGGACAGACATGCTTACGAAGGTTCGTTAGTAGATGAAAGAGTATTAATTTTTACACAAATACTAACTTTATAGGCTAGAGACAAACGGTGCAAACAAACTACTCTTTTTTCATCATAATCATGCACATGCTTGCATTCAATTGCACGGAGAAAGTGAGGTTGCACATAACAGATTGGAATAATTCTCTGGCAATTATACAATTTATGATAATAATGCTATAGTAATCTGAGTAATAGCAGAGACATAGTCATACAATTATTAACAATAGTTTACTAATGGAATTCTTACGTATTATGCATTTCATTTAAGTTTTTGAGAAAAGTTAAGGAACATAACCGATAGAAAATAAATCCAGATAGATTGACAAAGAAACATCTTCAACATAGTGTACTACACTTCTGCTTTTCAGATGTTTTACTGTCGAGCAGAGGCAAGGTGTTCTGATTACATTTGCTTGACCATTAAAATTTGATTAACTAGAACATGTTTGAAAGAGTGTACAGAGTTGGTAACAGTAAACTTTTTTAAAATAAAAACAATGCTTCTATTAAAGATAGTGAATACTGATTAAGCTGTCTCATGCTCAGAGTTGGTGTGTCGAGATAGCCTAGTGTAAGTAGTAAGTGTCTAATGTCAACCAATCAATAATATTTGATGGTCGCTCTTGAAACTCTTCATCATACTGGAGTGAATCTGTTCTTTACGTGTGTATTAGAGGACTCTTCAATTAGGGCTCATGATCACTTTTGCATTGTTGTCAGCTTCGCGCCCTAGGCAATTTCTTTGTGAAACTTTGATTGTAGTGGTCTGTGATGGTTGATTAGTTTAAGAGGTAGTAAGTTATAGCGATAAATGTGTATTTGACTAGCAATAAAACCATACTTATTGCGCAAAGGACTGATAAAGTCAAACAATATTCTTTAATTAGCAACAGCTCTTCTTAATTACTAAGTCCTTGACTTGGTACCTGGAAATTACACCAATTTATCTACACAAAATAATTCTAAAATTTTAAGAAGTCTCACCAGTGTTTCGAAACATCTAGGTTTAGCTTCATTGCCAGAAAATACTCCAATGTTTTTTTGTATAACAACAAACTTAAATGGGTCATGTTATATTAGCCATGTTTGCAAGTGACCTGATATTGAAATGCTCATCCCATCGCATTGTATCTTGGGCTATACATGTCTACTGACCACAAATGTGAGGTATTGTGAATATTAGAAAATAAATGGCATATAGATGTTCAAGCCCAGATGATGCCTCTTCTTATGCACATTGTATATTGAGATATAAAAGTAACTTTGATAAAAAGCAATATGAAATTTAAACTTTTTGCGAAACGTAATCAATCCTATAACTACATAACTATTATATCGCTGCCAACATGTCAATAATTGACTTCAATTTAAAACGGGTGTAATAGCTATTTATCGCGTTTGTTATGTTACCCACTTTTGAAGCTACAATTTTTTTGTAATACTACAAACATTAATAAATAACATTGAGTAAGAGAAGTCTGCAATGGTACTCTAATATAACAGATGTACAAGACACAAATTTTTGCCTATATTTTTTTCACTTTTTCTAGTAAGTGTAATATCTATGTTTGCTACACGGAAGATCTTGAACATGATTAATGTGCGTCTTACATGTTAGCACATTCAGTATTTAATAATCGCATCTACTTAAGCAGTTATTTAAATAGATTCCAAAACTGCTATGAGCACTAATCTAAGAATGCATTTTTCATTTTTTTTTTAAATTTTGTGCAAGATGTTTGGACAAGTAGCCTGTATGGATAACAAAAAAACCAAGTGTGCAACCACATTCTAAAGATGTATTTAGTGGTATCAGAAATGCACTTCGATGTTCGGTTGCATTCTATCAAAGCACAGATGTAATCACAAAGCATAAGTAGTGTTAGCACTAGTAAAACGCAAAATAATATAAATGAAGAATTACTTGTTAAACTTGAAGGCGTTGGCAAGTTCGTTGACAGCCGCATTCGTAACTGCACGTCCCACAGCTAACTGCACCTGCTGGGGCACCTGGATACCCCCTGGAGTTTGTCCACTCACTCGGCTGTACAGTACATAAGTCTTAGCCCCAAATCTTCCTAACTTATATATGTAAAGTTGAACTATAGTACGGTTAGTATACAGAAAATTGCATACAGGATTAGTAATCAAAGGTAACTGTTAAAGCTTTCTGGTGGTATAACAGCTTCAATGTGTGCAGTTCATGCAAGTATTTTCATTAGCAAACTGTACCTGCACAAAAAATTATGGTGAAAGAATATAACGTTGTGTAACAAAGTGTAATGCTTGATTTTATCACTCTACTACACAAGTTTTAAACTACCTGAACATCTTCCACTGTTGTATCTTTCCTAGGCCCGATAGAATACCAATTAAATTAAAATTTAAATGTCTATTAATATCAGCATTTATCGCAAAGTGTAGTGATGTCATCTACACTGACTCGCAATTAAAAGATAATTTATCGCAATACAATAGAAATAATCCCTGTAACATTGATTGTATACCAACAGTTTACATTCTTTAGTGAAATTGAAACTGGTGGAACAAACAGAATATTAAAGGGACGTAAAACTCAAAGAAGCATCAGAAGGCTTTCACAGTTGTTACTTTGTATAAACAAGTAAGCAACAATAAGCTATTACAAGGAAGCGATCTATGGTATTATGTGTAGTTATTTGAAAACTTGTGATTTACGAACAGACGTTTTCTAAATATTGAAATCGATCATACTAACAATCTGCGATCCTGCTTTTTACAAATATTATACAACGATTTATGGTAAACTTTGCTACTGGGCAAAGGATAACAAAAGTAGCACCTAATGTTTTTAGTTAATTAATGGTATGGTTTTAGATGTGATTAGTTGGTGTTTAACGCCTCCTGAAAACAAAACCACAACCTCAACGCTGCCTGTGGCTATCTACCAAACAAGTATACATCACAATAAAGTAAATGCTTACGTTGGAATTAACGGAGCTGGTAAAGCTTGTCCTTGAGGTCGTCCGGGTGGCATTGGAGGTGCGCCTCCCCCAGGCCGATTTGGTATCGCTGGTGCTGGACGACCTGATGCCGGTGGTGGAGGTGGTACCCTTGACCCACCTGAGCCTAAAGAGCCTATAAAAGTTAAGCATGATTACTATATCCAACACAGCAAGAAATTAATTACCTGTCGTTCCAACTTGGCCCATAGAGGGTGCTGCTCGTTTTGTTCCACCAGGGCTGGGAGGCGATAATCTAGGATTATCCAAACCGCTTGCCAACCAATCATTTTTGACAGGGGGAGGTACGGGTGTTGACACTGTGGCCATCGATACATCACCAATAATACGTAGGGCTTCTTTGCAGGCATGATACATGCGTAACATTTCTTCCCTTTTCAGTGCCTCCTCTGGTGACTCTTCCATCATTTGTGACTACAAAGAAATGACAAATGTTTAAATTCGTCAAATTTGAGTGTTTAGGTAGTAGTGATAGTATTAAAACATTTTTGCTAACAGTTTGTAATGCTCATCCCAATTTAGTGGATTTGTACTTTTTCCCGTACGTTTAAACCTACTACAATTGACACCCTTGCTTTTGAAATCTTACCAAAATCTACCTACTCAGGCTCGGTAATCCGACACCCAAATTTTTTCGCCTATGTCGTATTACTGGAATTGCCAAATTAGTGGATTTGTGTGGGATGTGACATATTTTTTATATCCTACATGTACTATGTGAGAAATAAATTTATCATCATAGATTTCTACAGTAACAGACTACTTTTTTCCCCCCATCCTGATGCGTGTTTCGCTGTTAAGGTCAGGGCAGGTCCAAATACAAAAGGAAATTTGTCAAGTAAGCTCAAACGCTCTACAATCCAATTTATAGAGTAGGTCAGCTGAGTCGCCAAATGCAGGACTAGAGAGTGTCAGACTGTCAAACGCCGGTTTACTGAGCGCTTACTGTACTTGATAGTGGAACTTCATTTAATCTGTAACTAAATACTTTTCTTGCACATATCGTTTCAACAAAAAATTCCTTACTTTTGTCTTATGATAACAATGAAGTTTTCTGCTAATGTTCCATCAGAAATGTTTATTATATTCGGGTAAGCCTATGGTGATGGTGATTCATACACTTCGAAACAATAATCAAGTAACGGCTGAATTTTGTATGTAATAAATTATAAGGGAAACAATAAGGCTTGAAGCATACTTATTCGGACAAAATCGGCTCGGACCGAACAGAAAAATCCCGATGGATTCTTCATAATCGTTTTATACGTAACTGTGCACATTGGTCCGCACGGAACCAATTGGAAACGGAAGGCAAATCTGTATTGAAAATCCATTCTGTGCCGATTCCGTCCAGATACGTGTGCTTCAAGCTGTATTGTATCTTTTATTATTCAATTTATATTTCTCTGATTAAAAATTTGAATATTATATTTGTTGCTCATAATTTAAAAACTATATTGAGTGTTAATTTTAATTATATAATAATTATCGCTTTTTATGTCTTTTTTTGTTTCAAAGCCAACTTGGATGAATATGCAATTTAAATTTGTGAATGTGCTTAGGATACAGATATCAAAATGCGATTTTCAATAGTAATATTCCAAGTGCATAAAAATAGCCGATTAAATTTTGACGTTTTCGGCAAATGTTTAGCTTAGAAACATGTTGAGTCAATTTCCCATGTAACAAAATTCCTTGTGCGTGGATTTTGGGTAGAAAATTGACGAGAAGTGTTTCTTTTTAGCAAAACAATTTGGCGAAAAATTAGAAAATTTCATCAGGCTATTTTTAACTACGCGGGATATTCGGCATCATTTCCTGAATAAATATTCACAGCGGTTTCAATATTTGCGAAAGGATTTGCACCAAAACTGGACATCATTTTCCTAGTTAATCATTAATCATACGTCCTCTAACGGCAAACCTATAAACTTGAAAATAATTTCCAGCGATATTTCTTAGTCTCTTTTGTTAACAAAATCTTTTCCCCAAGCTGTGCAATTAACGGTCCATAGATATGATCTGTAACTTTTATTAATAGGACACCCTGTACATAATGTACTGTAATTTAGTCTTCAAAGATTTTGTTAAATTTACAAATTTGCTGGTATAGGGAATTTTATATGTGTACCCCTTCATAATGAAAGAGAACAGATCTAATACTCGAGAAAATAAAGCGGGTTAAGATAAGAAACGAGAGTTCAAGCAGATATCAGTCGAAACACTACAGTGTTATGATTCTAGAAACCATCGTGACGGAGAATGGGGAACGGTATTCTTCGCCCAGATTTCAAGGCGAATCATGTGAGTTGGGTACCCCATTTTTGAGATCGGGTAAAGGTCCAAGGTGCAAAACTTTTCATTGCGCAATATTTGAAGTGGCTGGTTACGTTAAAACACAAGTTTATCAATCAAAACTGGGCACCTCTATTGTGTATTAATACAGGGTGTTATTAGATTTACATTAAACGGCAACTGGTAAATCAGTTAACCACAATTAAATGACCTCCCCTCATAAATGTGATGGACAGCCATGCAGAACATCAAGGATTTGCGCCCTCTCAGATTTGCTACACCATACAGTGCACTAAATTTTTCAAATTTCAAAATCAAGTATTAAATTATTACCTCACCAAGACAGATGAGCAAGTTCTAGAAAAAAGTCACACACAATATATCTTACCTACAATAGATCTTACCTGATCACCGCTTGCATAGAGATGAGCTAAGAGTTCTCCATTTATGAAGTCTTTGCTGTGATTTATGATAAGAAGCATTATCGTCTTAGGTACAAGGTCACGTGTTGTTTTGGTTACAATTCGCATGTAACTGTCTACAAGGTTGCGGATTGTTTCTACTTGTCTTTCCAATTGGGGATCCATTGAACTGCCTCCTCCGCCTTCACCGCTAGTCTAATTTCACACAAAAGTGATTATTGTAGCAAATATTAAAACGAAGTACTAATTACGTAGCAATCAGGCACGATTTTTACCAAATATTTTGCCGTATTTTAACTGAGAGAAGAAATTTTTTGCTAGTAATTAATAATTGGCGTTCTACCCACAAAAAATTTCATTAGTTTTAAGCATCCGTAGAGCAGTTAGCGGTCTCAGTGAAGCTGACCCAACAATTGAAACCATGAATTTTCCTAGTTTACGTAAAAATAAGCTAAACTATTCTCTAATATAATTATATTATTTTATGTTTCCCTACCCATTCCTATACTACATTCATTATAAGAAGGTAGTAGATGGCGCTGTGTTTGAAAATAAGCGCACACAGGAAAAATATAAAACGGCACCAAATTATTGTAAAGTAGAAATGTCCAGCACTGCAAACAGAAATAAATCTTTGACATTAACAGTTAATGACACTTCCAACAGTTTAGATGGCAACAGAAACTACCAGCTTGCAAAATTCGCCACTCGTTTTATGTTTCAGCGTAATACTGACTTGTGTTTTAACCAATCACACTGAAGGTCAAAGCTTCCCTATGCTTTCTACGGCTACCTTCTTAAAATGAATACAGTATAGAATATTTTTTAAACATTTGCAAGTTATATTCATAGTCAAATCGGAAAAGAAAAATAAGATTGTGATGAGGTTACAGTAGTGGTTTTGTTTAAATTTTGGTTTATTGGTTACATAATATGTATTCATCTTTCCTAATGATTTTTTATTACTTTTATATTTTTTTAAAAAATGTCAAAATTTATTAAAAAATGACTTATTAAGGTCCGTTTTCGTAAAGACACGGCCGACTTGGGAGCCAACATGTCTGTGCTAACGTAAATGAAATATATTTGATGTCTTGGCAGTAAGGCGACATGTGGAAGTCGGCAGCAAAATTTATCCCAACATGCTGAGTCTGCAACGACATTTCGTTTACGTTAGCACAGACATGTCGACTGACATGTTGTGTCTTTACGAAAACGGCCCTTTAGAGTTTAGATGGACCAACTTCACTGTAACAGGGCTCGTAATGTAAAAGTAAAAGTATACAATAATAAAACATTTTTTAAACATTTAAAAAAACAGCACTTGAAAGTGGAGTTCACAAGTGAAACTAAAGTGCTACACATGCACAACAAGAAGCCAGGTGATCATGATGATAATATAAGATTGCAGCTGTCCACAAGCACCGCCTTTCTATTACAATGAATAAACCTTGGAGTATTAGAACGTGAGAATACAGTACCAACCTCATAACCTTCTCCCTGCAGCAAAGAAGCACAACACACAAACACGCAGTTAGAACATGCATGAAGCATGTTAAAGTACCACACATATGTTTTGCCCTTATTTAAATGCCATCGTAAATTATAAATAGCAAAACTATTACTTTCCGTTTCGATTATATTGTACAAGGTGTCTGTGTTTGAATGTGAAATTACTGGCATTTAATCTGAAGCACGCAAGGGAGATACCCTGTATAATACAGATACAGTACATGAAAAAGTGATGTTTGCATCAAGCTATTAACAATTCGCCCACGTTTGAGATATTTCATTAATGCACCAGTGAGTAACAATTCAACTTACGGTAGAATGCACTGGATTGTTAGTGGTTAGTCTAAGATTTTGTCCTTTTATAAAATGCAATACAACTGTAAGTTAAACATACTTGCCCCAATTTATACAGTACTAAAACTGTTAAGTGCTCATTCGTCTCTATACACTACTTATTTGTGCAAAATTTCTATACTTTCCATGTATCACTAGATCAATTGATATATTCTTAAGGACAGAATACGAATTAAAAAAGTGAACCATTTATGAAATTAGGCAACCAACATTACTGAGTTATTAACTCAGCTATTAAATATCAGAGGTAGCAGCATGTTTTAAAATCCAAAGATAGTAAATAAATTGCCACATCGTGTCGAATAGGTGGTACTACCTAATGATACTTTAATAGTTATTAGCCAGGTTGCGGACAGCATTTTCCGTTATGTTAGACGGCCATTTTTTCTTATAACATAAGGAATATAAATTTTTGTAGAAATAATTTACGGTATGAGGGCTTTTTGTACGATATATTTATAAATAGCGGAACCAATGAAAATGAAGTTCTTATAATGTGTCACTGCGCAGTACGTTAATCACTCATAAATAACATTTTCCTGCTAACCTACAATTGTGCAGTGTTTATGTTGGCGGTAGTTCTTTTCTTTTTGTCTAAGAGCATAGTAGGAAGGAAGGCTTTATAAATAAGGATAAGTACTTTCAATGTCATCAACTTCTAAAAAAAGGAGTTCATTTTCACCAACTTTGGACATTTTAACACAATGTAAAATAAAAGTGAGGTTAAGCCTCCTTCAAACTTATAAGCAAAATTGAACACGCCCAGCACACACCGCAACTTAACTTTGCTATAAAAATGTTTTATACTTATAAACTTATATTATAAGGAAAAATGGCCGTCTAACATAACGGAAAATGCTGTCCGCAACCTGGCTATTAATGATACAAGTTCGTTTATGAACGTCATAATGAAACGTGTGTAACGTTAAATTCACGAGGCGTAGCCGAGCGATTTTAGTTACACAAGTTTCATTAATAACGTTCATATAGAACGTGTATCATTCAAAATTTAATCTAAGACGGTCCAAATAGATTTTAATCAGATTTTTGAGTTATCTAAACGTTTTCATAAATTATGATTCAAAATTATCAAGTGCCCATACTAGTGGATGTCATATGGTAATCGCGTTTGTCAATTTTGACGTCTGCTATAGAAAATAGTAGCAGTTATCATTTGCGAGCTTTTATGAAATCATAAGAACACTATACTGCATTCATTATAAGAAGATAGTAGATGGCGCTGTGTTTAAAGATAGACACACACAGGATAAATATAAAACGGCACCAAATTTGAAACATGAAAATAAATCAACAGATTTCACGTTTGGATCATTGAAATTGACATCTAATTCGTTCGACAGTTTAGTTCGTAACCGAAACTACTAATATAACAAAATTGGTCACACATTTTATTTGCCGGCGTAATACAGACTCGTGGTTTAACCAATCACAGTGAAGGTCAAAGCTTCCCGCTACCTTCTTAAAATGAATAGAGTATAGTGCTTTGTAAAACTAGTTGTGCAAATATCTATATATGATGGTTTCCATTACCTTGTGCACATTCCTTTCCTTATTTTAACGAGAAAAAAAACTTCTGGTTGACATAGATTAAATTACATTTAAAGGTACACGCAAAAAACGATTGTGCACTATTACCAGAATTTGTAATTCAAAAATTGAAGGCATGTTTTTTGTTCAAATACCAAACCCTTCTGTTCTTGTATAGGTACTAATACAATGCGATAAAAAATGAGTTGCTGTCGAGTCACCTTTGGAATTTTTGTTTACATGGGAAATCTTATTTAACTTGAACTTCAAAAGGCGACTCGACAGCAATTCATTTTTGATCGCCCGTTACAAGGTGGAAACGTTGTCTGTATAAATAATACTGCAGTCGAAATTGCAAACTCTAAATAAAATTTTTGACCTTCATTTGTTAATATACGCTATTTAAGTGATCTTATACCGTGGTGAATTTAACAGGATACATAGGCGAATTTAAAATTAGAAAAAACTGTTTGTTTTTGTTCAGTTCATTTTGTCATACCTACAATATTGTAATCATCATTTTCAGTAATACTTCATACTATGCGATCAAAAAAGGGTTGTCACCTTTGGAATTTTTGTTTACACGGAAAATCATATTTAACTAGAACTTCCAAAGGCGACTCGATTGTCAATCCTGATCGCCCGTCATATGACGAGCTGCAGAAATCTTACTCAGAGGTTATCGGGGGCGCAGAGTCCATATCTGCCCTCAAAATTGACAGAGGATGCCCAGGGGCGGCGCTTCAGGGGTGCAGTAGAGTAATAAATTAACCGTGTCGAGAAAATCGTTACGTGGGACAATTCATTTCTTTTTTACTGAAAATTCACCCTCACGTTCCATGATCACTACCCCTGAGCATACCGGGAAATTTCGAGAGTAGATCTGAACTCTGCGCAAACGAAAACACCCGAATAACAATTTCTAAGAAATTATATCTTTGAGAATGACTCCTGGTCGCAATATTGGATTTTAAGTGACAAAACTTTCAATATTGAAAGAAGAGGAGCAATTTTACAGCGACAGTACTTTAAAATTCAACAATTGCTTAAAAAAAATTAAATGTGTCATCTTATTTTAGCAATATTGTAGTAATTACTGTATTTCTAGTAAAAACTTTATATAGTCGCTCTAGAGTAATGTATGCAGAATTTATATGTTCAAAAATCCACCCTAAAAAATGATTGTATAAGCCCAGGAGTCATTCTCAAAGTTTGCTATAATTTTACATTGCAATTTGTCAGTGGCGACACCTATTGGTTCTCATGAATTATATGCCATCCTTAATATAAGGAACTAAATGAAATTATTGTTTTTAATAATTAAGCAAGTTTTTGTTCAATTAATCATTGCACTTGCAAAGTGATTTTAAGTTTTTAAATTATATTGAAACCTTAAAATCTGAAGGTTATATACAACAGAGGGTCCGCGCCAGCAATACCCATGCAGTTTTTCGTATGTTTTTAAAAGATTTTAAAATGTAGAGAGCAATCCACATAAAATGTATTCAAACTGAAAAGACTAGTATTTTATGATTTGGGGTAAGAAAATGGTTAAATTAGCAAATATGAGCTATTTTCGCATTCACTTGCAACACATATCAGCGAATTAATTTTAGTATCACAATAATATGATTTTAAAATTATTATAACCACATATGCTAATGAAAAGGTTCATTAGACTAAAAAAACGTTTCACTCCAAAACACATGGAAAGAATAGAATTTATATAGAACTTTCCTAAAATATGTGTATCATATAACTGTTGTCATTATCTGTATCTCCCAGATGAAGTTGACAACTGGAGAAAAAAAGTTATAAGTTATAACTTTACACCCTAACAAAGAAACTCACTGAGAAAATCCATAATAATAAATCCCGTTTTATTGAATATATTTCTCTGAAAAGACAAATATGTTGATACAAAAATCATGTTCCAACAATAACAATTTTTCTCTGGTCAAATCCATCTGTGGACATACTGTATGCTAGTGTGCATACTATTCTAAAGTGTAGCAAGCTTGCACAAATACTTCATGCAAAAAATGAAAAAATAAGTGTATTGCAAATTACTTCTTTGAGTAACACACTCTGTAATAAAGAAAATACCAAACCAAACACTGAAGAAGAGGATCAAAATACTTGCCCGAATTTCCTGCAAAGTAAAGAATTCATATTTATATATGTGAAATGTTAATTAGTGTGTAAAATATTGCAGGTGTTTCGGTACCTTGTATGTAAGTGTTCTTTTAAACATTAAGACAAAACAAAAATAAAAATAAACAAAAGATATTTTATTGCAAACTCGCTTTCATGCCATGTTAATCTTCACTGTACGATTTAATTGAGGCTGGAAGACATTAGTCCTTGTATAAGCCTTTGTTGTGACAGACGTGTACATATGGAATTATGTTTTCAGTTTATTACTAATATATGTATATTCTCTTTTAGGTGAAAGCATGACAAAACTGTATAAGATGATAAATTTATTGAGAGTAACTGAAGCTGACGATGCGATAAAGGATGACACACTCAGTACAATTTATCGATTTCTTACTATAAATAAAATGACTTCATGCAAATGTACAATAAGCCAATTGGTGTTGTGTTAACGTTTTGTGCTGTGAAAACATGCGGAATAATAATAAACTTTAACTTTACCTCGTCGCCATTCTGCTGCTCAGTTTGCTTTTCTGGATAAACCCCCGCCCTTAAAAATGACGCTTTCCAGGAGTCCACTTCGTCTAAGGTTTCGCAACTTAATTCTAATTGTTTATAGTCCTGTAACAAACAGCTTGTTAATACTGTATACATTGTTGGCAACAAGTTTTGTTTTTGACACAACTTATTTCCTTCACGTATGATGATTTAGGACTAGATTATGCAATTTGACTTTGTCAAATTCAACTTTAAATGTCACTAATAGATGCTTCCACTGTTAAATTTAATTTAAGGGGTTTATTACTCTTCAGTCTCCGATTTCAGTTTCCGGATTGAGCTGTATCACAGATCAATTTTCAAATGAATAGAAAGTGTGTTTTTATAAGGTCAAAATTGAAGGTTGTTAAACACTTATATCATACGAATGTTACCCAGAGAAAATGCTGAAAATTAACGAACTGTCAATAATTGTTCTGGTAGTAGTTGGTTATCTCTTTCTAGCATGAATGTAAAGCCGTTGATATCTATTTACGTATATTATGTGTAAAAATCTACACAAATATTGGATACGTTCAGCAGACACAACTGTTGAGTATGTTGAGACGTTGACTTATATGAATGATGAATGGTGACTTCTGGTGGAAGTCAACAGTTGGTAATAATTGGCACCACAAATTTGGCGTAATATCATAAGCTAACATGTGTTCTGTAAAGTCAGTGTCAATGTCAAGTCAGGTAAGCGATTGAAAAATGATGGATAAAAAACCTGACATTATTGTTTTGAAAGATTATGTTATCATAAATAATAAGTTAGTTCTTAAAGGTAAGGCATTTTTATTTATACCTACAATATCCATTTTTTGTCAACACAAAAGTAAGGTTAAGATACAAATACAAGAATTGTGGTGTCAACAGAATCGTTCAGGCATATGTTGACATTTACGGTGTGGTCAACAGTTGCTTCGGCTGAACGTATCCATTATTTTTTGTGACAACTGCCAAACACAGGCGATCTGATCAGAACAATTATTGAATGCCCATTATTATACTGGATGTCCCATGACAAATGCCGGCTATCTATATCTCAAAAAGAAAACCTCATTAAAAATTTGACAGTATACTAATGTCAATAAGAGAAATTCATCTAAAATACACTGTGTACCAAAAAGAATATACGTATTACTAAGTAGATGAATGAGTACATTGTCGATTTTCTATTCATTCCCACTAGATGACAGTTTTGATTATTACCATAACCACAACACATTCACTTTATGTTCTTTTCAAAGAATTATTACACAACTGTTGATTAACACGTGAAATAAACCTTAGGCACGAATGGAAATATCTGTCATAAAGACCCTATCATATTTAATAGCATTTTTACATTATTAAATCAATATTTAAAACAATGTATTTACTAGTATATAAATAGGGGGTTCCCACTGTAAACAATATCATGCAGATGAACACTAAGAATAAACTAAGAAATGACGGGACGACCTGTATATGAGAATATTTCAATTTGTGTGGTTGGTTTTGCTTGAATTTGTTATCTCAGAGCCTATTTTACCTTTTAAAATTGCAATATTTCCTTGTTTGAATTTTATCGTTTTTGTAATTTATTTAATTTAGATAAGGGGCTTTAAGTGAGATACATCTGGTCAAATTTACGTTTTTTAAAAATGGTTACATCTGGTCGTATGTAATAAGGAGTTCTTATTGGACGAAATTAAATTAACGCACGTGTTCTTGTCGCTGTTAAGAGATAAGGTATTGTACGTTGTGCGCGTTTCATATTGGAGTAGTGGGGACGTGTTCCTTCAAAGCGGGTGTTATCAAGTCTAATTGTGATTGGCGATGTTTTTGAAAATCGTGAAGAAGAGGATTATTTTATAGTAGAAGTGGTGTTCCCTTAAATACTGAAGACGAGGCTGCCGATGCGAGTTGCCCGATGGTAAAAGAGCATGTAAATTTCTCAGGCAATCTAATTGTTTTGTTGGCAGTTTGTCGGGTTTGAAATAAAGAAAGTGTGCAGAAGAAGTTAATCAACCTTCATAAAAAATGTAAGTTATTGTCAAATAAAGTAATTAGTAAAAGTTTGTGGAAAGTTTTATAATTGTCCATATTCAGAAAAAGTTAGTTCGAGAGTGAGTAAACAAGGTACTTGTCTGCTTAGTGAAAGTGAAAAGTTTCTACCATCCGAGCAACAACTGAAATTTTTTTTCATCTTATTTATCAAGCCAACAAGTCATTGAGTTCATTTTAATAAAGCATGAGTTCCTGAAGCTGTCAGCGAGTGTTTTTGGGTCTTTGACAAGTCAGCGTCAATATCACCAACCTTTCAAGACCAGATTATTTGAATTATTTTTTAAAAAAGTGTAAATAATTTTAAGGTTTTTTAAATTTTTAATTATCGCCGCCTGCGTGCGGGATAATTATATCTGTAAACTTCTTTTACAGCAGATTTTGTTTTAATTGTGGCATATGTTACGGAATAAATTATTGTCATTGTCAATCAATTGTGTTTATTCGAATCCTTTGTGCGACCCAGATAGTTTGCAGATTTTTCTATTCTTACCCAAGATTTAATTCAGGTGTGAATTAAAATTTGTGTAATTTTTTTCTGAGTTTCAATTTTTATTTGTTTTAAGCTAGATAGGAAGGTGTAGTGACCGTACGCCGTTGCACACAGCAATATCAACGCGTTCCAGGTAAAGAGTAACCTCTTCTAAAAAGAAACCAGCCATAGTTAAATAATAATAGTTCTCATATAGAAAAAAATTGGCAATTATGATTTCACCTGAAAACATCATTTTTGACATAAAAATTAAAACATGTCAAAAACAGCTGAGTTTAGGTATTAGGCATTACACATGAAATGTATACAATTTTACATAGAAACTAAAAGACATAATAATATATAGGGGGGTTCACTTAAAGCGTTTGCATCAAATACAGTGCCACCTCATTAATCCGGATAATTAAATACCAGAGGTGAATTTGTGAATTCTCCGGATTACTGAATAGTGGGTTAAGAGTGCGTGAATGTTTCTAAATAACTTTTTTCTACAACTGTCAAAAAAACCTGTCATTTTCTGACGAATTTCGAAACGCGAAGTACTAGATTTTTAAACGGTTAATTAATAAGTAGGGTTGCTCTTGACAACGTGCGCGAAATCGTCAACAGTGAAAAAAAGTATTTCGCGCACGTGACAAAGTTGAACTTAAACAGCAAATTTAATTAACAATCGGTTCAGTTGTAGAAAAAATATTGTATATAACGCTAGCGCGAAGTTATTTCGCGCATTTGACTGATATTTTAACTCGGCTTCGCCTCGTCAAAATACCTTCAGTCTCAATGCGCGAAATTGAACTTCGCGCTCTTGTTATATAAATAACTATTACACGTTTACTCTACATGTTCAAATAATTTTTTTTTAATCAAAAACAGCATAAATTCTCATAAATGAAACATAATAACTAAACATTAATCTACATAAATAAAATACACGTGGATGGGCATATGAAGAAAACTTTTAGACATTGTTGTGAAGTTTAAACAGTAAGCAACATAACGTGCGACGACTGCAGTTGGCCGACTGAATAAATTAACATTTATTCTGAACATTGAATGTGATAAACTAAATGTCATTCTACATCCTGAGAAGGAACTTTTCTTTACATGGGAAATCGTACTTATCTTGAACTTCCAAAGGCGACTCGACAGCAACTCGCCCGTTACTAGGCTTAATGTTTTATGTCTAATATAAAATCTGTATGAATAATTACACAATTTTATTGAGTAAATTATAAAATTATAAAGCTCCTATAAGTATAAATGTTTTTAAAATGTTTGAGGGGGGACTGCCATTATTCACAAACAGTTCTCCGCATTATACGCGCTGTCTCGTCTAGAAAAAGAGAATTACATTACATTTACAACTAAGACACTAAAGAGAATAGGAATTATAATGGGCGACAAAAATGAGTTGCTGTCAAGTCGCCTTTGGAAGTTCAAGTTAAATATGATTTTCCATGTAAACAAAAATTCCAAAGGTGACTCGACAGCAACTCATTTTTGATCACATAGTATTAAAATTGCAACTAATTTTTAAAAAAAAAAGAAAACTTACGGTGCAACTCTACAATATGCGATGTTCCTTCCTTCAGGGAAACTGTTTGCAAACAACCATATACAGTGAATTTTTTTTAAATGCGAACATAGGAGTTTGCATGCAATGTAATTTCCCTATGTTCGATTTTAAAAAAAACACATCAATCTATTGAGTAGTTCAAATGAGTAATAGATACAATTGACAGCTGTCACATTTTTAAAAATACCGCCGTCCAATTTAATTACGAAATCGGTTAGGTTATTGCTTAGAATGTCAAGGAGGACACTTCGAACATTTATTGTAATTGATTTCGGTATTTATTTTCTTCATTTATGTATTGAATAGATCAAATTAGTAAAATACCAGGTGCACATGACCTACTAATAATTGAAGGTTAGTTCACAATGAATTGTGATGTCAGCGCGTGCCATGTGAAGTCAAGTTATCGTAAGTTTAAGAAAAATGTATCCTAAAGTTGCTATGGCCTCACATGGCTTCTTTAAAAAATCTTACCGAGTGCTTTTCATCATAAAAACTATAGAGTTGCTGTTCATAGTCACACAAGTTGAGCGTTTTGGGAATGTGAACCGCGTACCTCATAGATTGATGTGTTTTTTTAAAAATCGAACATAGGGAAATTACATTGCATGCAAACTCCTATGTTCGCATTTTAAAAAAACTAACTGTATATTACTCGCCAAAGAATGGCTCCAAGTAAGTGCTTGTTATAGTGCGCAGGGGCACAACAGAGTATATCCCTGTAAAATTATAAAATTAGGATCAATTTTTCAAAATCGTAATAGTTTTTCTTACCTTTGGTACAAATTGGTGCACCTGCAAGTGCAACCACTAACATTTAGTTACATTGTGCACCATTATTTTTCAACCTGCAGCAGTAAGTTAGACTTGATAGATACTTATAATCAACATTAAAGATTGTCTTTTATAGGAGAAAATCGCGGATGCATGCATCACTTACTGATAAAAGGGATTAATAACGCACAATAATGTCATCAATTGCAGACATCACTCATTTTGCAGTTCATAACAAATCATCACTTACAAAATTACGCGTAATACGCGCAAATAAAATATATATCAACCACAAAACCGCAAATTGTCATACTGTACACGAAATCGCCCATAAGAAATACATTGCGCTTATGGAGATTTACATTGCGCCAGAACCCCCACTGTTAACTATTGAGTATAAAAATCATAATGGAAACAATAACAACCAATCATTAAAAGCCACGGTTTCCACTTCAAGTTTTGTTACTTCAGTCAATTATATCTTAATTGAAAGTTTAGAGAGTAATTTAAAAATTAGGTTAGAGCCCCTAATGATAATGAGTAAATATCGGTCTAAAAAACAAACACAGTTGTTTCTCATGAATCAATTGATACTCACTTTGTAAACGTTTCTACCGTCAGGATTGAACAGTGCGAACATATGCCTGCGTGACATAAAACCTTGTTCCATATCCCGTAACTTAAGCGAATCTAAAGGCAACATATACTTCTTATCTCTTTCTTCTTCATCTTTAAACCATGAAATGCTTTCCGATGTGAGAACAAACCAATAATCTCTAGAGCCGCCTTTCATTATACCAAGATTATGGATACACATGTAGCCCTTTCTAATAACTTGATTTCCTAATCCTCTCGCCGATCCCGTTTTGTTTGAGTTTTCTGATTGATTTTGGGCACTATAACCATTCAATAAAGGAATACAGGAATCAAAAAAGAAGTAATACTTACTTTGCAAAACCGATAAAGTCTTCATGATTCGTATTCATATAAGCTAATTCACAGTCAACAAGAAGTATCAACTGTTCTTTGCATAGCTGTTCCCTCTGTCGTATGTGTGTAGTGATGATTCTTTCAGTTTCTTCTCGTAATCGTGGATAGCGCGCCATCTGTGAGAGAAATAAGATAAAGTATAAAAAATAATGGCGAGTATATTACCTTCTCAGTACAAATTCGAACAACATTCGTTAATTCGGTTACTACCAAATCGACACACTTTAATGATGGTTCTTTAAGACGAGATATTTGCTTTTTAACAATTGCTTCAAATGCCATGTCCGGAGTAAAGAGGCCCACCTAACAATTACAACTCGATTAGTACAACTCAAGAAAGACATATTTTCTGAATTTGACTATAATTATACTTACTCTTATACCGTGAATGTTTCTAATAGCGAAAGCAATTTCCCTGCGTAGTTCCTTCTCATCAAATTCCATTTTAACAATTTCAAACGGAAACCGTTCATGAAATAACCTATTGATTTTAGCACCACCCGAAAGTTCCATAGTATTTATCTGAGCAGAACCTGAACCTTCAATTGTACGTTCGAAATCAGATTGAAGTTGTTGAATCATTCTGTAAAATAATAATTGAAGAAATAAAACTAGTTACAAAAGGCCCCCTTACAAGAATATGAGACATGCAATAATCTTATGAAGTATACTTACTGAAGCATAGCCTTTGTTTTGATAGAGGGATCATCAGGTCTAAAATGTCTAAATTGATCTACATCTTTTTCCAGGGTAAGTGATTGTTTCTGTAATTTATCACGCAGTCCAGGTAAAGTGTCTCTAATGTGATTCGTAAGTTGCTGATTAAGAATCCTTTGTAAGTAAGGTGTACCTAAGCGGTCAGCAAGGTGTCGATACGACGGATGGCTGAAATAATATCATGAAAATGGAATACAAAAAAGAAATGTGACTTGCCTGATAAAAAACTGTCGTTCTGCAGAGAGCGCGGCTTTAATATCTTTTCTACCATCAATGTCTTTTTGTGAACGATTCACAACACCTATATATCCTCTACGTAAAGGTAATAATTTATTTTCTAAAATGTCACGAGCATCGGTACCCTCGTCCATTAAATCTAACTTAGTTATCACACCAATTGTACGTATCCCTATAGAACAAAAATGTCAAAATTATTTGCAAACAGATAAATAATTACCTTGAAGGTCAACCTCCTTTGCCAATTTCAGGGCATCCGAATTCGCTAAATCAGTATTCGCGGGTGTAACGGCAAGAATTAGGCAAGAGTCTCTTTTGATGAATTGCATAATCATAGACTTAATTTGATGTTCAATATCAGCTGGTTGATCACCTATAGGCACTTTGGTAAGACCTGGCAGATCAATTAGAGTCAAATTCAAAACTGTAAAATAAAGACACAGTAGATTTACACAAAGAATTGAGTGTAAGTATACCATTAGGAGAATACACTCTTAAATTAATCGGAATATTTGAAATACCCTTATTAGAACCCGTCACACGGTCAGTTTCAGCCTCAATTTCTCGGCGTACTTCATCAAAGTCGACGAACTTCTTTCCTTTGTTGTGTAAAAATTCGGCATACTCTACAATGAAATCATGTAAATTGCGATGATAACGACAATAAATATTTAGATTAGTTTGTAGATTTCTTTTGAAAATACCAAGCAAGTAAAGTAGCTGTTTCTAATTAGTGATGCTATGCTTCTCATTGCTTTTATGGGGTGTTTTTAATAATAGAAAAAGGCGAAGTGAATTACCAATAATTACTTCCTTATGAAAAGACCAAGGGAAACACTCTGTATATAAAATTTTTAATGCAACAAAAGGCGAAGTGGTACTATACTATACTATACTAATTGGCGTGTCCAAAGATTTTTCGAGAAGATGTTCCTTTCATTATGAACACACTGTATATATTTTTAATTTTTTTAATTCATCTTAAATATATAGGCGATCTAGAAACAAAAGTTATATCGTGGCAGACACACAATGAAAAATCAAGAACGTAATCCCACATTAGTGAGTGTGCTAAAAAATAATACAGAATTTAGTGTATCTAATTGTTTATAACATATAACCGAACATATGCCGATAAATATTTAAAGAAGCACTACCTAATTTTTGTTTTTCGCGTTAAAAAATACGCAAAAGGTAAAAACTGTAGAGTAAACCTCAAGTTTCTCTGCTGTCTAAATCTCAAGTATTTGTAAAGTTAGCATTATTAGCCAAGTCATATTAATATATTACGTAGAAATAATTCCCTAAAACTTGTTGTACCCATTAACAACAAATAAAAACTCAACAATCGTAGCTGTGATACAGTGGCGGACGATTTTCATTTTTCTCGTCCTACTTCAATGTCAGTGTATAAGAATTTCATTTAAATGCTTCGATAAATAAAAAAAGTTGGCACTGCGCATGCGCAAAACCAAATTTTGAAACTGGCGTTAGATTTTCCTTTATTCCAAGTGCCTATGTATGAAATTTCATTTAAATACTTTTATAAATAAAAAAGTTTGCAATTCGGTTTATAAATGGTCGAGATGGGAAAAGGGCACTGCGAATTTTGAATCGATTCGACTCAACTTTTGGCATTGCATGTTATATGGCTAAAGCTATACTTACCCATACTGAATTTCATGCCATTCAATTCATAACCTCGTTCATAACTAACGGAGATGTCAAAGCGATCGGGTATTTCTAAACAAAGTTATCGTTCACACAGACAGATAGATGGACAGACAGACAAAAGAACAAACGGACAGACCAACAGACAGACGACAGACAGCAATACAAAATTATAAACGATTATTATTATTATTATTATTATTATTATAAAGGATCGTTAATACGGCAAAAGTGTAAAATTATGGAACATGTAAAAAACGGTTTTTTATTACAAAGAATGAAAGATTTAAGAACATATACAAATGAAAAAAAACATTTCCTACTACGCAATAATTAACGACAAGTGCCAACTAATTAGTTTCTGCATCCCAAATTTAGTTCATTAAGTATTTCCTCAAAATGTATCATTAAGTTACATAATAGTACAACTGCGTTATCCTTACTAATTACACTTAACCATTTATATTTATATGTATTTCATGTGTTTTGTACCGATAAATAAAATGTAACCAAGTTTTTTGGAATGATGCTTTCGAACGACCGCAAATGGCGAAATGAAAAATATGTATCTGCCATCTTATACAACGAATAATATTATGTACCACAGGTTGAGAACTGCTGCATGATAAACAACATAATTACAAAACACAGTACTTCTATACCTCCCAAGGGGAATTTCCTCGGGAATTTCACCGGGCAAACCTTTGTCCTCGTACTGCCGAAATTGGCAGTATTTGGTGTAGTCCCGCTGTCCTGCCAGTAATTCTGTGTACTATCAAGTACTACTAGGTACTGCAAGTGTACTGCCAGGTACTATCAGTTCCTGTTTGCATACTGCCATGAACCACAAAATGAAGGATAATCTTATTGACATTTTTTTTATGAATGCCATAAAAAAATGTTCCAGGTAGAACGCAACATAGGGAAAGGCAATGTATTTTTTTCGCAAAGGATTTACCTTTGGCTTTAGCATTCAACGTACCACTCGAATCCCTCGTCCAATCCCTTTCTATTTTAGCATTAGATTAGGCAAGCGCAATAACGTAGTTAACGCTAACTTGAAACACATATCAAAGGCCTTTTGGATCCTTCGCGAAAAAATACATTAATTATGTTTGCCTATGGTGCGGTCAACCTGAGACACACGGTATATGTTATACAATGCGTTCATCTTAAACTGGAACATACGATTTTGCATGCAATGTTAGGCGCTTTCTTTAGACTACTTTTTTTTCTTTCTTAGGATCACGTTTTACCAAAGAACATGCTAATTTAAATCCAAGTGGAAGTACTTGCACAATTATGCTCCTCTTCAGTTATAAATATTGACTAACCTAATATTTGAGCAAAAATATCCTTGCATTTATAGGTTAGGAATTCGTGATCACTAAACAAATCATAAAACTTTTATGTTCTGTTTGTTCACGATTTTTATTAGCAATCATGATCATGAGATCACACTTCGAAAGAATATGATTTGGCAATCCAAACGGATCACCGAAAGAAAGCGGCTGTTATTTCCCCATAAAAAAAAAAACGAGTCAACCTATAGGAGTAGTTCAAATGGGTAGTAGGTGCAATGTACAACTGCCACCTTCAAATCTACCGCCCTGCAGATAAATTTCAAAAATGCTGGTCTAAAGAGACGAAAATTGAAATTATAAATTTATACAAAGGTCACAACAGTGCAAGACAAGACCGCGATTTACTTGCAGTCCAGTATCCTGATAAACCAATACCTTCCATTTCAACGTACATAACCTAAAAATAATTAAAGGCTGGTTCAGTTGTGCCTCGCACAAATTTCCAATACGTGTCTGTAGTTGTGAACCGCACATATCCTATAGGTTGATGTGTATTTTATTTTATAGGGAAACATTATTGCACGCAAAATCGTATGTTCCAATGTAAGACAAACGCACTGGATATGTATTGTACAGGGTGTTACATATAAGTATGTATAAAAAATTTGGGTGGTAGAGGGGATCAAAACAAGCACAATAAACCGAAGGTCCAACATGTTTCGTTTGGAAGCCACCCCCCACAAAAGTGGTGAAATTTGCATTTCTTCTTTAATTTTTTTCTCAGCAATCGTAAGAGTTAGAAAGACTCGTGGCACGTGTCAGAATAGTTTTTTGGGTAGGTATGTATGTATAATTTTGCAAATTTATTTTCAAAATTCCTACCACAAAAGAGTGCGAAATAAAATTCTGATTTCTACGAGATTTGGTATCTGGGGATGAAAACCACAAACATGAAATTAGAAGGTAGTAGTAAAAGAGTGGGAGATTTTTTTTTTATAAAAAAAAAGAGCGATATCATAATTGTCATTTTGTACACGTGTGCAAAATATAAAAAATGGCAAAAAGGGCGGGTAACTGGCGCATTTTCCATGAATTGATCTATACTTCTCGAAAGGTTATGTAATGGACTATGTGTGCAAAGGAAAATAAGTTATGACACAAATATTCTTAGAAATAAGTCTGTGCATGCGCACACCTAATGTTTAAAATATGCGATATGTTTCCCTAATTAGAAGACCTTTGGTTAAAATTTCAAAAAAATATCTATAAATAAGAAAATTGATATTGCGCAGTATGCGCATGCGCACATTTGATTTTTACAATGTGCGATATGCTTGTCTTTACTAGAAGAATCTTTGGTTAAAATTTCAAAAAATATCTATAAATAAGGAAGTTGACATTGCGCATGCGATTGAAATTTTACATAATTATGACATGTTTGGGGGGGGGGGTGGAAAGCGTAAATAAATTTTGGGACATATCTCATCATCCCTACAATCGTAGACCCAAGAGTCCTACCCTATGTTCACATTGATTGATTAATTGAAGATATGCTAACTTCACAGCAGTGCTGGTTTAACAAGATCTAACACTGACTAATGAAATAGAACAATACAGGACCGTCTTGCCAACTTCACATACATGTATTAAATGGGTCATAGCTGAACTATTTATAATTCAAATAAATTCAATATAAACCTATGTCGAATACAAGCTCCCTAAATGGAAAAGGTTTTTTCTTTTTTATCAAAAATTTTCAGAAATAAAACAAGGTTCTCGATTGTTCATTAGGTAAGTATCTCTTTCTGCACAGTAAAACTTTGTTCCTAGACCACCTACTGATCTCAACATTGCTAGTCTCTGCATTCTTAAAACTGTTTTAGTCTGTGTATCTGTTTTTTGCCAATGTACCAAGTCACCCAATAAGACTGTTCCTCTGCCATATCTCGAGAACCGTTCGTCATATGACTTAGGGGTAAAAAAATTATTGGGTAAATCGGTCATGAAAAATCGCTGGAAAATATTCTAAAAATCACCAACAGAGGGCTTAAATTTTAAAAAGGCATTTTCTTTCAATTTCGCATAATAAACTAAAAAAAAATTTTTTCACTATTTTAAAGAGGACCAGTTTATCTATCTATCTATTCTCCGCCAGGGGGCCAGTTTTGACTCTATGATCCAAAATCCTAAGAAAATCAAATGGAATATGACTTTCTTTATGAAAAAGTAGCCAAATAACATTCAAAGAGGCCAGTGAAAACCGTTTTTCAAAATCTCGTTCCTAACCTCAAATATTGGGAAAATGAGATTAATTAAATAATTAATAAAAATGCTTAAAATGCATCTTAAATTGACTTTATACGTATTTCAAGTATATGTCGATGGCGCGAAAGAAAAGCACCCTACACTTTTAGGTAAGCCTTGGAAAATTAAACAAAGGAAACACGATGCATTATAAAATAATAACAGACGTAATTTGTAAAGTATTCTGCTGTGTTTACATTCAGAAAGTGCAGTTTTTTGAATTTGTAATCTTTTCTAAAATGCCGATCTCTAACCAAGAAGGATTTAATATGCTGGCGATATATTTTGAGTATTTTCAAAATGCGATCATCGCTGCCCACATCTTCTATTTGCGTTATCCAAATCGACCACGAACAATCGCCGCCAGGATAAACAGCAGAATAATTTACAAATTACGGCTGTTATTATTTTATAATGCATTGTGTTTCATTTGTTTAATTTTCCAAGGGCTACCTAAAAGTGTAGGGTCCTTTTCCAAACAATCTTTCGCGCCATCGACAATTTCAGCATTTTTATTAATTAATTACATAATCTCATTTTCCCAGGTTAGGACCGAGATTTTGAAAAACGGTTTTCGCTGGCCTCTTTGGGTGTTATTTGGCTACTTTTTCATAAAGAAAAAGTCATATCATTCCATTTGTTTTTTTTTAGGATTTAGGATCATAGTGTCAAAACTAGCCCCCTGGCGGAGAAGGATTCAACTATATTTTGGATGATTCTTGTTGCCCAAGGAATGCTCTTTTTAACGATACCAAATTTGTTACAATTTTGGTCAAACCTCGGGTCAAACGGTTAAGAAGTTAAAGCAAGTCGAGAAGCAGGTTAATGCAAAAACAATTGAACGCCCCACGCCATCTCTGTTTTTGAAATAACTGAGAAAATGTGGAAAAAAATTTTTTACTTTATTATGCGAAGTTTGGTCTGGTGGTCATTTTTAGAATATTTTTCCAGCGATTCTTCATAACCGATTTACCCAATAATTTTTTTTACCCGTAAGTCATATAACGAACGATTCCCGAGATATGACCGAGAAACAGTCTTATTGGGTCACCTGGTACAGAATCAGATATCCATATAGTATTTCCGAGTATTTCATTGAAAATAAATAATTTTTATGATATGTATCATTTAAGTATGTAGATTGATAAAAACATGACGTGTAAGCAATCGACACAATTTTAATAAACTCTAAAAAGGTACCAATACAATTTAATACACTGCACAAAGTAACATAAATCTGAACGTAAAACGACATGCTTCAAGCATTAACCCTTCAGTGGTGACGCACGGTCTCTCAGACCGACGAAAAGTATTTTTCAAATTTTTCTAAAAACGGCGCAGCGCATGGCACTGCTAGTTCTGCTAGCTTAATATTTTGCGTGTCTGAGTTTAGTACCAGACGAACAACTTGATGAAGCAAGCCGTTCTTTGACAATTAACCCTTTCGGTCTGTCAGACCGACGTCACCATTGGTGTACCTAAAAATTCAAGCTGCCACTGCACATTCTTTCAAACAGAAATCGAGAACAATTCGGAAATTTGGGTAATTTAGTGTCGTGAGTAATTGGCCGCTTTCCGGTGCATCGCCGCCAATGATGCTACGAAAATTCTAGTCAGCGCAGCATTGTAACGCGCATCCCCCCGTAAGCTTAGTATTGTGTATAATTCAATTTAGTTATGTTCAGTGGCGGTCCCAGGGGAGCCCGTGCCCCCCCCCCCCCCCATTGTTCATTTTTTTCATTAGATTTCTTTTATTTTTTTCCGTGTTGGGACAAAGTTCGAGTTTGGGCCCATCCCGTTACCAAATCCTGGGACCGCTACTGCTATGTTACAAGAATAAATGAAATATAAAATTTATTTATATGCCTTTGTTTATTTATTGACTGAACTTTTTCCTTTATTTTAAGCCAAGTTACATGCGTAGTAACTACGAAATCAAGCCAAAATCAAATTCACCACTGGTGTTCCAAAATTTCCCGTCACCACAGGGTTAAGTACCTAAGTCATAGTGGAAAGTTATTTCGATTACATGAAATCAAGCTTAAAGCTGGAAATACACGATCAAACATCACGACAAACATGTACGCGTACATGTTCGTTAAACATTATCACATAGACTGAATGAATCCACCTACGTGTTCGAAGCGTTTTTCGGTGCAGCACACACGCGATGATGTTTGATGAAAATGTATGCGCGTACATGTTCGTCCTCGTGTTTGTCGTGATGTTCAATGGTGTGTTCCCTACTTAAGAGTTGCCCTAACCAATCAATGTAACCGTTCAACATTTCTGTTGATGAACAAATCTCGTATGTTAAGTAGCGAGTCAAAGATTAAAATAAAATTCTCAATTTTATTTATACTAGGAATAAATATTGCATTCTCACCAGTATTTGAATTTATCAACTGCAAGATAAGTGGCCTGCGAGTAACAATACCAGAACCTCGAGGAAGGAAGTCTCTAAAAGAAAAATTGATGTTAATAAACTCTTCTTATCACAAAAAGTTGTTCGTAATCAATATTGTTGGAGGTTTCATTCTCATTTGGGTGGGTGAGACAAAACTGTGAATTAGAGAAGTTCAAACTAATTAAACCCTTTTAAAGATCATGAATCATAATTTTATTAGATTCTTGAAAGCATTTACAATGTCACAAACATTCATCAATCACCACTTGACTGGATAATCAAAATCAATAGTGGAGAACATTTTTTTCAATTAACCCTAACTGTGTTACTTGAATGTCAAAGGAATCGAAAAATTGTATAATATCTATTACCTCCCCACGAAATTTTCCAATACGGAGCTTTTCCCTGCTGATTGTCCGCCCACAACGGCTATTTGTGGTAAATCCAAAGTCATGTGCACCCCTAACTGAGTAAAGGCGTCTTGCAGCTTATTCACAATTGGAATAAGCTGCTCCATTCCTACATTTCCTGCCATTTTTGGCCGGAAAACTTTATTACTGTTCAGTTGAAACCAATATTATTTCACTACTACAAAACACTTCCCGAATGTAAACCAACGAACATGGCTGAACAATAGCTGTCAATTGCGCATGAGTCACCTAAATCTATAACGAAATCTAAAACAATGATAAACTGTATTTAGAAGAATGCTCCTTCAAATATCCGCAAACGCATTAATTGTTAATCGCCGCCTTAAACTTTCTAATTCAAAATTTAAGAGACTGTGGTTTTGTAAGCATTTACAAATTATTATTAACAAAATTTGAATTAGGTCTGTCAATATTAAGGGTCATGCGCAGAGAGCGAGTGCTTGTACGTAGTTTGGGTTGCATAATCAATCAAATCAAATTGATCCGATAAAAAAATGTATAGTGTAGTTCAAATATTGTTTCATGTAGCCTGTAATGTAATGTTTAACTTTTTCCAAGCGACCTACTGCAAGCCGGTTATATACAGTGCTACACCATTTCGCGACCTTCATCCTTAAATGTGCTCTGAGAAACTATATCATATTTATTTTCCTTGAGTCCTTCCTGAGAGGATAGGGTGATAGTTGTGTTTATGATAAGACACGTTCATATTAGCACAGATATTAGCATTAGGTAATTTTTTTTGTGCCGTGTCACACAATAATCCACGTTCCACCTAAAGCGATTTTCGGGAAAAAGTTCACTAGTTAAAAAATATAAATCTGAGATTAAAAATTAAAATACGTTGGAAAATTGGGAAACCTCCTACAGCACTGCAACCAACATTACTCAATCAAAATACTGTCAGCATAGTCTTGTAAAAATAAATGGATAAAGCCTATCAGCCATCGAGATAACAAAAATATTGAGAGAAAGAAGATTATAGGTATTTGATATATCCAGACTGCAGTTTGTAAAACGGGGTTTTTGTCGTTTGCAGTTAGTTTTCTCGGTTGTTCTCCGTTGTAATTATTGGAGGTGTTACCATTGTATCTAGGTACTACCTTTGTAATGAAACAAAGCTACTACCTATACAGGGTGGTGCCTACCGCAACGCAGCATAGGGATTTCAATGGTAATTTCTTTATTGTAAATTACTAGCTCCCCTAATTATTTTAGAGCAAAAGTCTAAATACGTTTTTTTAGAGAAAAAAATACTGCATCTGTTCATACTTTTAGTTATAATTTTCCATTTTTCAAAACCGTAAAAATCGACAAAATAAAAAATTACATTTTTATAAATCAGTGATGCTTTGGAATCTTTTAACAAACTACAAGCGCATCGCATCTAAGTTATCGTTATTTGACGTCGAACGATTTTCATATTTAATTCTGTTTCAACTAACCGACGCAATAAAAGGCATCTTAGGGTAATGTTTTTTAGAGAATGTATGCTGCATCTGCATCAGATACTATTTGTTTATCAGAGAGAATCAGAGTACCTACATAATCGAAGAAAAAAAACTGATTTGAAGAAGATTTGTTCCTAAACTCATATTCGGATTTTCCGCTACTGCAGTCAATACGTTGAATGTATTGTCGTTTTCCTGATGGTTTTGACGGACATTTTGAACGTTATTGCACTTGCAATTCGTTAACTAATTTATAAACACGTATAAATTTAATATAGGTACGTCAAAGGCAAATAATGAAACGTGATCGCTGTTTTTTAGGTAATTCCAAGGCATATTTAATTTATTGTAAAATGAACCTTTTTATTTTGTCGATTTCTACGGTTTTGAAAAACGGAAAATTATGAGTAATAGTATGAACAGATGCAGTATTTTTTTTCTCTGAAAAAAACGTAGACTTTTGCTCTAAAATAATTAGGGGAGCTAGTAATTGATTATAAAGAAATTACCATTGAAATCCCTATGCTGCGTCGCGCTAGGCACCACCCGGTATATACTGAAATACAATTTCCTCTATGGTATTACCATTGAATTTATAACTATTCATTGGTATTACCAAACAGCTTATCTTTTTAAATAACTAAAATAGAATTTTTTGTAAAAATAATAAATTGATCTTGTACGAAATAATTTGATAAATGGTTAATGGGAACATATCGAAAATGTGTATATGAATATAAAACAATCCCAAAACCATTTCAAGTAATTTGAGCGAATCATGGTACAATACTCTCACCCCGAGCGCCCTATTGCTAACCCCTCAAACGTTGAATGGCACGTGCGATGTATCATTGGAAAGCGCTTTAAAAATAATTTTCGATGGTACCGATTATAAGAATATTACAGGATAAAAGTCGTAGCTGACAAGCAGAATTGGGGGGGGGGGAATTCGAATATACCTACCTACCAAACAAAGTTGAAAACTTCTTTTACTGAGGGAACAGAGTATAGTGTTGTCTACTTAAAAATGCGCAGTAAATCGTGTGGTAAAATAGACCGTCTGAATAGTAATACAATTGCATTTCATAAGCAAATAATGCGAGCTCGCTGCCATTTTTAGTTAATGGTCCATTTCAATATAATAATATAAAGTATTCATTGCCCGTTACGGTTTATTGAAATTTTTCTTAGTTATGGCCATGGACACTGCTCTCTATGTCCAGGGCCGGCACTTCTTTATTTTGACGTGTGGTGCTCTACGCCCAGAAGAAACGATTTTGAAATTCAATGTTTTTATTAATTGGATTAGGAGGAGTAAACGGGGGATAAAAAGAGAAAATAGAATAAACAATATATTGCACATCTCATTACATTGCCATCGAAAAAGTAGAAGAACGTTGCGCAGATCGCGAAATCCACTCCTTCATCAGGGGTTTTAAATCCAACGCCGCAGTATAATCCCGATGTATACATGGAGAACGGCTACATGATTGAGTCGATCTTGCCTTAAATTCGAACGCAAATAGGTCTTCAGCCTGCGAAGTGCAGAAAAAGATCTTTCTGCCGTACAAGTCGAAGCAGGGATGGTAAGAGTGTGTAGTTTGTTGCGCGTGTAGTGCTAAGCACCACCACTTTGTTTTCCGTCTGGTGCTTGAGGCCTTGAGCCTTTGCGCACTACTGGAATTGCCGGCGCTGTCTATGTCTCAGTGAAAAAATGTACCTAATGCAGTTTAGTTTAAAGAGCGATTTTTGGATATTTTTCAAACAACATCCCATATTTCGGCACCGGTAAAAACGACCATGTGTGCTTTTTTCCGCCCCCAACATCATGGGCTGAGCCCTCAATATTACTTGGTAATTCACTCACTTGCTCAGAATCTTCCAGATCCACGAATGTGTAATTCATTAGCTGCTCCCCATCTATAGTTCGGGTAGGGGAATTATACATAATATTGGAGACCACACCTACTTTGTGTCACACAAATTTCCATATCGGCTGAAAAAACCATAGTTCCTAAGTGGCGTCTACTTTCAATTAATATAAAAAAATAAAATAAATCGAACAAAAAATAGCAGACAAACAATACTGGGTACTTGTTAAAAATTTTTTACCTTCATTAGGTGGAGGCGTGAAGGTGTGTAAACTTAGCCATTTAAAAAGCTTAGTTCCATACTTCTCATGGTATTTTGTTTATTTGTGAAGATAGAGGCGGACTTCTTCCCCAAAAGAAACCATTTCAATCGATGTTTAAAAGTCCAATAAGTTGACGGGTAATAATTCGAACCTCCTATGCCTCTTAATACATGGAAAAGTTTCTAGGGCATCTTGATTGAATCGGAAAGTCAAACTCTAGGTCAAACTATACTCAATATTATATTTTTCATGTAGGTAGTCATAAAGGCCAACTAATGATTTATTCGTAAGAATAATTCCCTTCTAAAATGGAATAAGGAATTTATGCTTCCCTACTCTTAATTCCGCAGTTGCGACAGAAACGTTTTTTAAAAGGCTATTCTGATTTTCCAATTTAGTCCCATACGCCTGATGTTTACCTAAAAAAGTAATGATGAATTTTTCTATCTATATCTGTGTACATATGCGACTTTTATAGACACAAACAAGCATTAACTATTTACCTATAGTCATACAGGAAATAATTTCCAACCTTGGGCAAATATATGATTTCTGGCAAACTTCAATAGATGATGGTGGGTTGTTGCTTTAGGTCTTACACTGCGCAACGAAATTGCAGAAGCAATATCTGTTGGCGACCACAGTGAACTACTTTGTTCTGTGGATTAAGCAGTTTCCTTATTTGTCCCATTGTGAACACATTTTCAAGCGCAGTGTCGAGACTATTGGCTGTTCCATAAAGTTTATTGTTTTCTGACAACAATTTAGCTTTTTTTATTCTAAGAGCTACGCCTTATCCTCCATGAACATTTTCTTGTAAGCCGCATAAGCAAACATACCTACTTACTAAGCACGTAATATTAATGTAAGGAAAGAGAAAAGAGCAAAAGCAATACTTACTCATCGGTTTCAATACTCGGTTCCTTCTCGTTTCCGGAATTACTTTATGTAGTACATATAAGTTGCCTATATTGTTGTATCATTTGAGTTGTACTTGTGTACCACCTTGTGCACCACGCACGCGGCGGTACGAATTTTGCAACATGTACCCGATGCGCAGAGTTGTACCTACCTATATAGTAAAACAACCCGACCGACCCGATTTAGCGACCATCTTTGTGTTAATTGATTATAAAACACATTACCCAATTTGTTGTTTGTGACAGTTTGCTCGCTTTTATTATTATTATTATTATTAGCGAGTATTTCTCTGACTAGTCGCTTCTAGTTCCTTTTTCCTCTCTGAGTTCTCGTTAAATACTTTTCTCTGTTCTTGTTTGGTCATGTGGAAGCTTTAACGTGGGCACTGCATCAAGTTTTAGTGTCCGACAAAACTTGCTTGGATTTTCATTTAAAAGACGGTATTTTAATGGAATTTCAAAACATTTAGCTTCGAAATGAATTGAGCACACTGTCGCTAAAATAAAGTGAATGTACACTTAGGTATATCTATATTATAATGGTAATGGTAATAAATAAAATTTTGTATTTTAGCGTGCTACCTACATTCTTACCAAACTTTACATTTATGTGACCATCCCTCTTACAGGCTACAATCCATTGCTTTCGCAAATCTTCATTTTTCGGGAATCCGAAATATTTAATACCTGAACCTTTCGTATTCCGTGAATAATTGTAGCATTTTGCAATCGCGCAGCCCGGCATTATCGTCGATATCGTCGCGGTAGAATAAAAGCAGGAATAAAAGATATCCGCTACCGCAATTATTCGAGTGTTCGCTAGTTCGCAATACAGGCTATCAAGTATTCAAGTACACCTATGCAAAAGCACTTCCTGTACGGCTGTACGTAAGATAAAAACTTACCTTATAATATGCACCACAATGCGGAATACACTTCGAAAACGGGGTATGCCATTTAATCTTTACGGGTTTACGTGTATTTACGGTGGTAACGGTTTACGGCGTTTACGCGCCAAATCACAAATGTAACTAGTCTGACGTCATGCGCGTGTAGGACGTGTTTTCGTATATCAAGTGATCGCCCTACTAGACCTTTTACTTTTTACTCGTAGCCAGATCTGTAGGTATATCTTGACCTTAGAAGACTATGAAAGAAAGGGGACTGATAAATTCATATATGTATTATACATATATGGATAAATTATACTATCAAGAGCAAGCTGCGCGTTGAGACAAATTTTCGTGTGCCGGCCATATTCTCGGTGCACAAAAACTGTTTTTAATTCTTATTTACATCAGCTGTTTGCATTTCTTGACCAGTGGCGTATCTCCATTGTACTTGTATAATATTATAATGAACAGAAAAGATGCATCAATAAACGTACATATTAAGTAGTCCATCTGTCGTGTCGTGTCGTACAGAAGAGTGTGCACTTTCTACTTAAACACGTTTGTATTTATATTATACTGAACACGGATTATAAAATTATAGCAAAGGCAGTTTCCGCCAGACTATCTGATGTCATTAATAAACTTATACCAGCAGACCAAAGTTACTCCATCCCCAATAGATCTATGTATGACGCAATACACTTACACAGGGAGTTGCTCCACTATGCAAACCACCAAAACAGGGAGCTAGCGATAATAAACCTAGATCAAAAAGCCGCATTTGATAATATAGATCATCAATATCTATTTTATGTACTAAAGAAGATGAACCTTGGGGAATCCTTTGTGAATATGGTGAAACTGTTATACCGAAACATATTTAGCGATTATAGAATAGGATCGGTACTTACTAGCGCTGTCAGAATTGCAAGCGGTATTCGGCAAGGGTGCCCTTTGTCAGGTCCACTTTTTTCATTAGCCATAGAACCATTCCTAAACCTAACCCGAAAACTACTACAAGGTTTCTCGATTCCTATGTCTCCCTTACAACTTAATATCAAAGTGAGTGCATACGCGGATGATGTGTCGATATTCGCAAGCTGTCAAGACGATTTTAAAAACGTGTATCGTTGCTACAAAATATACAGCCAAGAATCCAGTGCAACACTTAACGACAGCAAAAGTAAGGGGTTATGGGTTGGTGCTTGGAGGGGAAGACAAGATCAACCTCTTCCCTTTCGTTGGACATCCGACGGTATCAAAATCTTAGGAATGTTTTTGCACAATAACAACCAACAGGATGCTCCCCACGCTTTCAACGTTTTGGACAACATACTTACCGCTACCATCAATAAATGGAAAAGGATCTGCCCTACTCTTTCTCTGATGGGACGGAGTAACGTCGTAAATAAATTTATAAGCCCCAAACTATTACACATCTTGCATGGAATTACACTACCTATCGAGAAACAATTGCACCTACAACAGCGAATTATTAATTTTATGTGGACCGGAAAACATTGGACATCAACGAAAGATTTATGTTTGCCAGTGTCGCAAGGTGGGCTGGGCTTGATTCACTTGCCTTCTAAAATAAAAACACTGAGAGTATGGACCGCCAAAAAGTTAACTCGACCAGGAGAATTTCAAAATTGGAAAGGAATTATAGATTTCGCACTGAAACAATGTGACAACTTAGGTCTTACCTGGCAATGGTTTTTTACTACTCAAACTCCACGGCGGCGTCATTACTTATCACATTTCACGATCGACGTAATATACAGGGTGATTCCTATAGTACCTGCCACCGTTTGGGAGCGTGTAGGTGGTGCGTAGGGGAGTATTTTGATATAGGACACTTGGGGTCGGAAATCTAAAATAAGGGTGCCAGAGCCAAATTTACCTTCTGGAATTTCGCGCCTGTAGGTAGGCAACCCAACCGGCCGGCGGTGCACACGGAGCGATCTCAGGCGGCGATGTGTGGCTGACACTTGATCAGAATTTTGTTTAAACCCACGAAATCCCGTCTGCAACGACGCGTATCAAGTGAATAAACACTATGGCAATAGTAATAATAGTTGGCTAGATGTAGGAAGTGCATTGAGAACAACGGTGGCCACGTTGAACACTTGTAAACGTTATTGCTTTTGACTGTCGTTTTCCCTCCTTCCCTCCCATGTCGCTTCCTCGCGCTAACTCGCTCTGCATCGCTCCGCGCGAAACGTCGGTCGGTTGGGTTGCCTACATACAGGCGTGAAATTCCAGAAGATAAATTTGGTTCTGGCGCCCTTATTTTAGATTTCCGACCCAAGTGTCCTATATCAAAATACTCCCCTAGGCACCCCCTATACGCTCCCAAACGGTGGCAGGTACTATAGGAATCACCCTGTATATAATGCAGGAACTGGATATAAGACTGGAAAACGTTGAAGTGGATCAAATTCCAACAATACCTTCTAAGTTATCCCCCACCTTAAAACCACCGCTTTTTTGTGCAAATTGGTCACATTTTGGCTTTAAAGTTTTAGCCGATTTTAAGATAAACGGTATATGGATGCAGTCCGATCAACTGACCCAACGACTACTACCCGCATCGGAATTGGTAAAACAAGACCTAGTAAGACATTTTGATCGGATCAAAGATTCGGTTACGAACGTACCCTTTAACTCGGAGAGACAACGTAACATCATGACTTTTAAGACACCAAACCTGTGTTACACTAAGTTAACAAAATTTTCAAGAAGAAGGCTCCAAACACAAATTACAGCTTACCATTTCACGTCTAGTTATCGAGAGAATTTACAAAACTACTGGGTAGACTTCAGGACGAACTGGAAAGGTTTCGTCAATAAGATCACCCCCGGATTCGTAGCGGTAATATCGTGGAGATTTGCAAAGAACCGTTTGGCGGATCCCACTTTCTTGTTTCGCGCAAATTTACGAAATCGAGAGAGCTGCCAATATTGCAATGTGGATAAAGCAGGTGCCTGGCATATTATGGTGGAGTGTCCACAGATCAAGGATATTTGGTTTTTAGCTTTAGCAATGAGCAGTGAAATTGTGTCTACTCACGCCCTTCCCACCATCGAAATTTTAGCAGCCTGCGGAATACAAGGTACAACGGACACTATCAACTTAGCTAACTTTATCTTGAACTACACAAGATTTTTTATATATCGAAATTCGGTAAACCAGATGAGAAATAACAGCGTAACACCAAATCTCAGCAGCTCATACAAAAAGTCACTGAAACGCCATGTTTTACTGTCTTACTCATGGCACACGGGGAAAAAGTCACTCCAAAAATTTGAAGAACAGTGGTGTATTAACAAGGTGATATGCTATATAGACGAACATGAAACGTTAAGGTGGGGCAATAACCTGTAAAAAAAAAGGGCCTTGATTTGAGGGATGTAAATTATCAGTTATGTGTAATGAAGTGTAAATATTGTACAGATTTAATAAATATAATAATAATAATAATGTACCTACGGTTGCTGCTTTAAACTTACGCCATTGAACTAGGAGGCCATTGTTTTGGGTGCACATTTGCTTCTCTTTACGATCGTTATTAATTATCCTACGAGTTTATTAACGAGCTCCTAGCGAGTTTATAATTTTGCGGTGTATGTCCGTCCGTCCGTTAGCACGATAACTCATAAACGAGTGGACCGATTATGATGAAATTTTGGAGGTGGATTCTTTATCAAATTTGTAGATCGGAGTTCGTGAACTGTCAATGTAGACCAAAAAATAAAGTAGGCCCTTTTGACATATCTCCGTTAGTTATGAAGCGAATTGCATGAAATTCAATATGCGCATAGCTTTAGCCATATAAAACACAATTCCAAAAGTTGAGATTAATCGATCAGCATTCACAGTGCCCTTTGCGCATCTCGACCTTTTACAGACCGAATTGCAAACTTTCTTATTTATGAAGGTAAGTATTTAAATGAAATTTGATACATAGCCACTTGGAATAAAAGCAAATTTAACGCCAGTTTCAAAATTTGGTTTTGCGCATGCACAGTGCCAACTTTCTTATTTATGGAGGCATTCAAATAAAATTTGATTTGATTTTTGTGTAGGATGTGCGGTGCCAACTTTCTTATTCATGGAAGCAATTAAATGAAATTTGGTACATTCACTTTAAATAAAAGCGAAACTAACATCGTTTAAAATTTGGTTTTGCACATGCTACAGCCATACCCAGGAGCTCGTTTGCTATATTTGTTTAATTTATTATTTAATTGAGATTGGTTTCCTTTTAGAAGAGCTTCCTGGACCTTGTTAATGTTAACTACGTTTTTCTAATGGAAACTTCCTATCATTTTCCAACGAAGTTGAGTACTCTATTACGGGCACTGTCTCTGTCCGTCTGAGGCTTTAACTACTCCAGTTTTCAATATATTTAGTTGAATCTTTTTGTATTCGGTAGCTTATACCTATGTAGCTTTGGTACTTGAACAAAAAAAAAATGTTGACGATTAATGTGCGCATGCGCAATGTCCTTTCTTATATTTTTTTTCAATTTTAACCACAGATGCTTCTAGTAAAGGCAAATTCCATGTAAAGCATAATCAAATATCCGCATACGCAGACTGCTGAAAGTCAATTTTCTTAGTTTATACAATGGTTATAGCTATTTTTTGAAAAATTTGATTACAGATGCTTCTAACAAAGTAAAAAAGTATACGGTACGCTAATATCCGAAAGGTTGTCAAAACTGAGATTATAATTTCAACAAATCTGCCAGTAGATATAACTTTCTATGTACCATTCAATTACATATTCAGCTTAGGCTACCTATAGTGAATTTAATTACAGCAAAAAATAGAATAAATAAATAAAAAAAGAAAACTAATTATTTATTTTGTGAAACTATAAAAATACAATGCAATAACAAACATTAAACCATTTTATTCACATAAAATAACACATAACTAGAATTTAACAATTTATATGCAATATCACATAAATCATTTAAAAAAAGTATTATTTAGATCAGTCAGGTAGTATTAGGTACTAATAAATTAAAATCTAAATAGTGCTTTTTGGTGTTCTGGGTTACATGGTTTTCTTTGAAACTTCTACTTTTCTTTCTTCCATAAACTTCGCCATAACCGTATAAGCTTTTTCTGTTAACATCGGTACATCATCTTGCGTCATACCTGCTGTAGGTATACCAGGTAAAATTGTTATTGTAATACTACCTACGAAATCAATAAATCAATTGCCTGTACAATTTTGTTCGATGTTACCTTCATCAAATCTATGTTTTCCTAAGAAAGTGTATTGATCAACAATTACAGGCTGAAGAGGACACTGAGATGCAACAGCTAAATGAAAAGCACCTTTCTTAAATGGTAATAACTTCTCTTTCATACTTCTAGTACCTTCAGGAAACATAAGTACACGAGCCTACATACGAAAAATATGTAATTGGTAAGTTTCGCTTTGATACCAAAAAAACCTACCTTTCTGTGTCTAATGGTTTTCCCTGTCTTATTCACAATGCTTTGAGCTTTTTCGGGATTTAACCTATCTATAAATATAGTACCCCACAACCAAGATGCTAGCCCAAAAGGCCATAAATAGAACACTTCTTTCTTAGATATAACTGTGCAATTATCCATTATTGGCCATAATTGTGCTAAAACTAAGAAGAAGTTAATTTTTTACTAAATTCATTAAGTATACTCACTTATTAAATCTAGAGCACTTTGGTGATTGATTAGAACAACACATCCACTATCTTTGATGATATTTTCTTTGCCTTTAATTTCATATTTTAAGCCTAATATCCACGCAGACGTACGTAATGCCCAAGCAGGTAACCTAAAAAATAATTGTAATTTTAACAAAGGTGTATAACACTGTGACAAACATATGCTAGGTAAGTATGTAAGAGAAATAAAATTGAAGTGTTTAATATTTTTTTTTGCTTAACCCGAAAACTAAGATTAGGTTCCCTATTGCCCTATTCAAATCTCCAGATGTAAATATTGTCTGGTAATTTTCTTGCACGCCTTCAATTCAATTCAATTTTTTGTATTTTTTGGGTGCTATGTGATATCTTGTTTCTTTTTATATGTACCTTCATATCACTATCTATAGTCTATACTATTGATGGTTTGTAAATTATTTTCGCTGTTATGAAAAAATGAGACGGATGTAGAGGCCGCTTCTCAAAATTCGTTATTTGAAAACCGCCATTTTTTCAATTTTAAACAAATGATATAATCCATCACGACCATCACCTGTCACGCTAACATAAGTTCTTTGTAAATTTATGAGAACAGGAATATCAAAGTGCGCCAAGTTGGATCCTGTTACAAATGCGAAAGTACCCTCCACATCTGCACAATTTTCGTAGGTACTCTAATTAAAAATAAAGTTACTATTTCCAAAAGTACCACCATGTTGAGAATATTCACTTCATCAAAATGACGTTGATCAAATAAAAATACTACACTAAGTATTAGAAATGAAAATGTAATATCTTTAGCATAGCAAACTCTGAATACTTACAGTGCATTTCTACTGTCTCTTGGTTTCAAAAACATCAGAGGAATAGGAACAGTCGCAAAAATCAAACTAATAAATATAAATATTGTGAATTTGAGGTAGTAGCGTGCCAAGGAACTAATATTCCATATTATATACAAAAACATTGTAGTCAACACTGCCCACAGCAAAATTCCCATATCTGAAACAATACATACATCAATTAATGAGAGTGAAAAAAAACTAATAAAAATAATTAATAGAGATCAATACAATGAAATACTAATAGAAGGGAATGAATATACAGCCAAAAATTGACACCACTCTTGTTTACACATAAGACTAGATATACTTCTTGCGAAGCAGGACGGCCTCAACTTGTAGTGCTGAGAACACAATACAGGTGCTTGAACTATTGAGTAATTAAATCCTTCACTCAACGCTTGAACCATATTTCACAAAATTTCCTATTAAGCGCACCTTTACACGAAAGTGTTCTAACCAATTATCTGTTATCAAAAACACCTAAGGTCATATTCAGAATTATAGACATAGACAATTACAATGTACTAATTAGCGTATTTTTGATTAGATTATATTGGAAATAGTCGTAAACTGTCACACAAAACTATCTTTGAAGTTGTTATTACTTCTCCAACAATTATTTTATTTATATAACAATAAGTTACAAATTTAGCAATCGTGGTTCAATAATAAACGACTAGTTTTTCTAATGGCGAAGAAATAACCTGTATAAACATATACTTTTCAAAACTGTTAATAAGGTTCAGTAAAATTACGCTTGCGAATTGTAAAAACTTTACATTTTTTGCAGCGAGATCTAATCCATAACATAAGCGTGATTTTACTGAACCTCATTAACAGTTTTGAAAAGTATACATGTTTATATCGCGGTTCAATAGAGGGCTCTATTAAGTACACCTACCTACAGTGACTTTACACGAGACAGGGGCGATAATAGTGTCTAATTTTTGATTGGTTGTTGAGATTGGCGACCATGTTGATAGTCAGAAAACAAAATTTACCCCCTCTCTCAAGTTTCCTAAATATGGCGAAAAATAACATAATTCATGTTTTTGATTTTTGGCTTTAAAATCGTTATTTGGGGAGGTATTAAAAAACTAAACAGACTTTTTTTATGGAACTTTTTCTGTTCTTTGAGATGATACCAACTTTTGTTTTTCATGAGGGAGCCATTGTAAAGACTTTCTAATAGAAAAAATCTTGATTTCAAAAAGGTACCTATAACATGTTTATAAAAAAATCGAAAATAAAAATAATTAAAAAAAAAACATTTCGAGTGACATTTTAGTTAGTGTTAATAATAGCAATATGCATGAACAATCGAATTTCTTTAATAAAAACCCGAATTTAACTATAATAAATGATCATTGACTAAAATTCTGTTTAAAAATTTTCCAATTTTTACGATAAAATAGGTACCGTTTTCGTTATATCATTGCATTTGAAAAATGTTTAGAGAAAATATCGTCCTCTTGTTTCGCCTCTTAGCGGTGATTGTATCAACCTAAAAATAATATCCAGCATATCCTCTTCGCAACTGTACCTCAAAGCTTTAATATTTTCTGAGATTTGGTCAATCGATACATGCATTGGGATATACTTTCTCCTTCTCTCTCTTGAATTAAATGCGCGATGACTGTTTCATTTATACAGGGTGAGTTTCTTCTTATGCTTATGGTATGGAGATCTTGGAAACTAGCAGAGAAAATGTTGTAGCTTTATGAGCTCAATAAATTCTCGTTTTGATTTTTAGAACCAATTCATGGCGAACTAGGTAAAGTGAATTCAATATTAACTGTAGAAACAATGTAAAAAGTAGTAGATACCTAATTATGGGTATAAAAGAAGCCCATATTTTTAAACTAACGCGTGTCAAAAAAGAAGTGTAAACATGAAAAATTTGAATAAAAAGTCTCGACCGTGTAACGCGTTTCTGCCCAAAGTTATCGTGCACATGGACCGACAGGCAGACGGACAGGCAGACAGACAGTACAAAATTGTAATAATAATATAGCTTTATTGGGTGATTCAGCAGTTGACAAAGTGTCCACAATAGCGCATTTTTTTTATGGAATTTGTGAATAAAAACACAAACATCTTCTCCTATGGAAACCGTCGTTTTTTGTAGCATTATCTAAATATGATAGGTATACAAAAAAAATAAGTTATACACTTAATTACCTACAACCGAGCCTACAACTTTTCTTCTCTGAATGAGCTTTGTTCTCAACTCTATACAGTCAATGGCTCAAATGTTTTTTTCGAGTTTCCGTAGAGGGATCGGACACTTAATTTCCGTACGTAAATCTTTGTTATTAATGCCCGTTTGCACCGACAAATTTAAGCGGAGCTTAGCTTAAGCGTCCCTTAAAATCCATGGCAACCATTGTCTCAATAATCGTTGCCATGGATTTTAAGGGACGCTTAAGCTAAGCTCCGCTTAAATTTGTCGGTGCAAACGGGCATAATTAAGGTACTTTATTAATGTCAAAAACTCTGAAAGTCCGTCCGTTCGTCTGTCCTTCCGCCCAGTCGTTCGTTCAAAAACGCTCATATTTGATACTCAGAGAGACCACGACTTGTTCCGATTATATTTTGGGTTTCGAGATTAACCCTCTAGGGCAGAGGAGCACAAAGCACATTCCCGCGCTACTTATAGTGTTGCATAAGTATAAGTAGGTACCTACTTCAGCAAAAAGTATAGGAAAACGGTATCAGTACGTAACAATACAGAATGATTTCCTGTATGCCATTCATAATAGTTAAGTATACCTTGGTTGTATAAACTTATATTAATTTGTACTGACGTTTCACAATTAATGACAGTTCAGCTGTGCGACCAATCAGGCAATTACATTTCCTCATTAACTCGTTTAAGATTACTTATGTTAACAAATCGATTATACACGAGTATAGCTGGCACTCAGAGACCATAAGAATAACAATCTAAGACTTACCCGAAAATAAGTAGGTAACGTAATGAGTCGCCTGAGACGCAAGTCGCAATTCAACCAAAAAGGTCTCTCTTACTTCTTAATTCTTAATGAATTAATTATGCATACCTATGTCTCATTGTGTGATAATTATAATAAACTAGCTGAAAGTTTTTTGGGAATTAACGATAGAATACGTCTAGTCCATAATCTTCACTTCTATAACTATAAACATAATGATTCAAACTACGTACATATATCAAGGGTGAGTTTTTAGTGTATTTTCCTTAAAGTGAAAAATCGCTATTGGCTGCACTTTGTCGTCCGTCCGTCCGTCAACAACTAATTTCCTTCTCGATTTTACAGTTTTTGAGTTATAATACAATCTTTTATTTTAGCATTGGAACTGCTTATGTTTTGTATGGGTATGAATTTACCAGTTTCCTGACCTGAGTAGAAAAGAAGACAAGTGGTGTCGCGTCTAGTGTTGATTGTACCGTACTCGACTGCAATCGGTAGATTCAGGAAAAGTCGCGGATATTGTCCATACGGCAGTGGGCAATTAAATTTCTCGCACATCGCTCGTGATAGTAATACAAGGATGTACGCCGCTTATTATTCAGAAAGTTTACGTGTGAAGGGTTATTTATTACTTTATAGGTTATAGGGTTATCATTTCCAATGTCTCCGATGGGTGCAAGGATTGCGAGATCTGTGAATTTTTTTTAAATGGTAGGTAGTCATACTTGGCTTTGACATTTTTAAAAAGGACAAATTTTTCTCTTTATAACGATATACCTAATGCTTGCTAATTGTATTTTAATAAATAAACGTGCTGCAGGAATTTTTGTATTATTGAAAGGTAAATAAACAGAGTTTGCCATGGAAAACAATATCTAATGAGATACGTAATGGGGATTTACGATAATTCAACCAGTTTAACCGGGTTGGTAGATTTTGGTATGGTTACAATTATTGACACTATTGTTTCTATGGTGATTTCTACCAACCCGGTTAAAACGGTGGAATTATCGTAATCCCCAATAGTGTAACTGTGGCACATTTAACATATTTAAAGGCCATCTTCGAAAATTAACTAAACCTCTCGCCAGGAAAGATTGCCGGTCACAGAACACTTGATCCCGATCTACGATCTATGTTTTTCTAAAGATGTAAGCGACTTCCGGAATAGTATCGTGTCAATCAGGGGCGGCTCTCTATAAAGAGCCAAGGAGCCATGGCACCACCTCAAGGAACCTGCTAATTATCAATTCTTAAAATATAATTAACTATTATTAATTGTGCTCACTAGAGTACATAATTGTGCTTTAAAACTTAAAACAAAAAAAGTAAATGATTTGATAAATTAGGTACCAAGAAGAATTCATTTGTGCTTATCCGTGGACTTCAAATACGGTCGAGTCGTGCCAAACTGAAACTGGCTCGTATTTTCCTACATGTGTGGACTTCCGCGGGAAGAAGAGGGGTGGGAGGAGCGAAACAGAAGTAGCGTTTTATACATACAACTTGAGCCATCAGAAGTTTGGCTCATAAGCACAATTGAATAATGTGTACGTGTATTACTATGCTGTGCGCAGTTTTCCTTGTTTCAGTCGTGATAAGTCGAACAATTTTTTTAAATTCTGTGTAAGATTACGGGTCCGTGAAGTTAGCAGCACATTGAAGGCACAAATGTCGAGACTAGGTGGGTTGGTTAGTGCTTCGTTTGTGCCGGTTTGTGCCGTAAAAAGTTTGCCAGCAAAACATACCGTTTGGAAATTATTTCGATTTTTAGATGTGCTGCTAACTTCGCACACTTTTGTCGGCACAAATCTCGGGACTGGGTGGATTGGTTAGTTGCTTCATTTATTTTGTGTTTTTTTGGTTTTTTTTTTTTTGTTTGTTTTTTTTTTTGTATGGCTTTGTTTTTAGTTCCTTTTTTTGTTTTGATTGTTTTGTTGTTTTGTTTTTTTTTTTTTTTGTGTTGAAATGTGGTTTTTTTAGATTTTTTTTTTTTTGTTTTTTTTTTTTTTTTTGGTATGATTTGGGTTTTTTTTTGGTGTTTTTTTTGTTTTTTTATTTTTGTGATACGTTTTCCATAGTAGGTTGTTTTGCCGGTTTTGTGCCGTAAAAAGTTTTGCCAGAAAACATACGGTTTGAATTATTTCGATTTTAGAGGTTTTTTCGCTAATAGCCAGTCATTGCGGATTTTTAACCTGAAATAACTCGGGAAGTACAGAAATTTCAG